GAGCGAAAGAGCGCTCCGTGCGATTTGTATTGGCGCTACCATATCCCAAGTTTCGTTTTCCGTGTCATATCGCTCTACCGTAGCTAGCTGTCGAGTGCCATCAAATCCCCCCACGACGTAGATATACTGATTAATGGCAGCTACACCTGAAATGAATGAAATTCATTAATATTTCTTTAATATTCACAGTATAATTTACATTTGTTTTGTTATGTATATTCTAGAGTGATCTTACCTGCTCCACTGCGACCCGTTTGCAGAGGAGGTAAGTAGCTCCATTCGTTGTTTTCCGGATGATAGCATTCTACACTGGCCAAGCGCTCGTTGCCATCAAAGCCACCAATGGCGTAAAGCAGGCGATTGACAACCACAACGCCAACGCCTAAGCGCTTGGAATGCATGGGCTGGACGAGAGTCCACCGATCTTGGTCAGGATCATAGCTAAAACAAACAAATAAACACATTAGCTGCTATTTTGTGTGTGCTATAGGCCACATACTATTCAACAGTATTGTGGTATTCCATTCCTGCAGATCCACCAACGGCATACATTAGCTCGTCCATAACTGCCACCCCGACTCGATGACGCGGCACAGACATCGGAGAACAGGGCCGCCACGTCTCACTAATGGCGCTATATCGATCTACCCAGTCGGAGTCGTATGAAGAGCCAATGTTATTGTTTCGTCCGCCCACTGCGTAAAATCTGCCCTTAAGAAACGCCGCTCCCAGACCGGAACGTGGGATGCGCAGATTCGGTAAGGTGGTCCACGTCTTGTCATCTACATTGTACGCTTCCAATATATCCAAGGAATGACGGAAGAATCCGCCAGCGACGAATATCATGCGCGTCGTGTTGGGCGTACGCTCCTTCACGCCTGGGCACTTGTGTAATGTTAAGTCTTTGAAGATCTTGGCTAAATATTCGCGGCAGGCGGGAACCTTACGGAGCACGTCACAGTTTTTCATCTGCTCCTTAAGGAAGTTGGGCGTTAGAAACTGGCACCTCACAGCGCCAAGAATATGCTCCATTTTGGAATGGCGATTGTCCTCGTCGTATTTCACCCATTTCAGGACAGCATTGTATACATCGCGCTCCTCCTGCACGTTCAATTCGTCGCGCCTTATAAGCGCTATTAACTGATAGGCGGACAGCTGCAAAAACTCCTCTTCCTGGCACACCTATGATTCGTAAAAAGAGTACCACGGTTCAATAATTCTAATGGAATCGATTACCACTCGAAACATACTTGCATGAAGTGTCGCTCTATGAAATAGTTTGCTTTCTTCTGCAGCTCGCTGCAGCTGTGTTGTTCGGCGAAATTCGCAATGCCGATAGCATTGGTCGGGTCCAACTGCCGCTCCAGAAACGCACAGCACGCATCAATGACATTCTGCACCTGAAACATGGTTGCAGCAGGCAGAAGCTGACAGACGGTGACTTCTGTGACGCGTATTTGTCCAGTATACATAAAATAGAGAATGCGGGCCATTGCCGTCGGGCATACCTAGGAGAGTAGACCGTGCTGTTCATCCATTATAGTCATAAGCTTTAGCTGTGTAGCTAGACTTTACTTACCCCCTGGAGCTGCACACGCGACATCTCGGACTCCTTCAGTCCGCCAGTAAACATGGCTTTAAAATATGGAGATGCGGCAGAGAGAACCACCTTGTGTGCGGGAAAGAGCTCCTTCTTTACCTCGAGCACAACGTCTGTGAGCATCCCATGGGATCGCATCATGAACATCATCTTAAGCGCTTCCTTGGCGTAGTTTGACATGCAGAAGGTCATGTCATCGTCTGTCGCATCGTGGTCGTCTATTGCCCGAGCAGAGTCGAAACGACCGCATGGTGTTGAGAGGGAGCATCTGTCAGAGTCTTCGTTCATCTCTATGTCTGCAAGTAGAGAGGGTAGCCAGAAGCATGAGATCGGGTTATCTCCCACGTATGGCGTGTAATAATATGTATGTGTACGACGATCATGTGAAAATTCTACAAATTTTGCTATCCGAAAAAATACAAATTTAAAAGAAAAGCAGGAAAGCACCTCTAGTCTCTTTCTGACTAAATCTAGATTATTTGTGGTCAATCAAGTATATCCTTGAGCAGCAAAATGAGGTCATCCGATTTAGCTATGCGTGCTTGCTTGTCTGTCCGTATTGTTGTCTATCTGTCTGTCATCCTGTTTATCTCAGAACTTGTCTCTCTGTTTGTTTATATGAATGCAGCAGTATTCGTTTTGAATTTATACTCAAGTAAGTAAGCACAAATGCTTGCAGCATAGAGTGTTCCCATTGCTCATTTAACGATCGACTGCAACGATCCCTACCTGGTGCCAGGCTCAACATTTGAGCGCAGCTCAGGCCTTGAATGAAAGTCGCCCTATATAAAAGGCAGCAGCTGCAGCATTTCTTCAGTCGTCCAGTCCTGGTGGGGGTCAGTCGTGCAGTGTAGTCATCAATAAAAAAAATTTAAAAAACAAATAAGAAAGCTCTAGTCTAGTCCTTACTTCACATCCCAATATAAAAAAGCTGCATCCACCCGACTCGATTTTTCTACTTTGTGTATAATTCGGATTTGTAGCTCGACCGCGTTGTCGTTCTAAACAGAAAATTTGGCGATAAGACCAGTCAGCGCTACCCCAGGTGTGCACAAAGTCCAAATAAACGAAAAAAATACCGAACAAAATTTTTGCTTCGTAGAATGAATCGTTTTTTACATTCTAAGATGACTCTAGATAGTAAGTAGACTCTAAAATATCACTATGATTTCATTTTGACTTTGTATACATTTAATTTACACTATGAATATCCCACATTGTTTTCAATTATATTTAATTTTATAACCTCTTCTGTTTGGGGGTTGTTCAGTGGGTTCATAACTGTAGTTCAGTGCGCAGTAGGGAAATGAAAACTATCACCACACGATTTCAAAGAGATCAGCTTAATGAGCTAGCACCTTCGACGTTGACTGATTGTGCGTACGCCGGAATTGAAGGGAACAAATTTCTGCAATGTCATCTTGTCAATAAATATCTACACAACTGGTAAAAGGTGATAGGTAGCAATGGAATGGATGGGGTACGTTTACAAGATACCTTCTAATTGTTAAATTTTAGATTATTATTATCTATTTATCAAATATGATACAATTAAAGTTTTTCAATTTTAGATTAGTCTAGAGAGATAATAAAAAAAGGGAAAGGCTTTTCAAAATCATATCTGACAGATTTGAATTGATTTTTTGTTGATAAGTCGGGATAACTATAGGGTATTAAATGTTCAAGCATATGTATATTAAAAGTAAAATGCAATGTCATGATTCAAAACGAAAAATGAACGTTAAACTTATATAGCAAAAACGATCATAAGTTGGAAGTCAACAAAATGATTAACAAAGTTGACTTTACTCAATTCTGTTAAATAGTTATGTATTTGTAAGTTTTAGAAAAAATTTTACAGGAAAACATAATATATATAATTACATATGTAAATACATATAATATACCGACACAAACAAGATATATCATAGCATTTACAGAATTTTGTTAGATATATTGGTCTTTGGGATATTCCAATTGTTTTGTTTTATTCGAAATCATTATAATGGAATGGTTTATTTAGTATTTATTGCTTATAGATCTTCAGAATTATGTACAATTACTAAATAGATTTATTAAAGACTAACCAATCTTATAATCCACAAAAGCCGTTTTCATAAATTTTAAAATTGTTATATTTTTATATACATATATATATTTAATTTAGCTACGTGCCGGAAATGCGGCTATATGTATTACAAACGCACATATAGCACACATACACACATACTAAAGTGACGCGCTATTAGAATGAGTCTGCATAAAATGCGCCTATCTTGAGCGCGAGGAGTTCCCTTCACGTTATCTCAATCAAATGTGCGATAAACACAAATACACACATAGTGGGAATGAAAGAGAGAGAGAAATAGTGTCAAATCATGCTGAGCAGGCACAAATGCACACATGTTCATTTGCATGCATACATGTGCGATATTTACATACACATACGTATGCATAAACAAATGCCTGAGATAAAAATAAATAGTACAGCGGAGAGCGAAACAACATTTGTTATTATTACTGTAAAGACGTTTCAATATGGAAATGTCCACATGAATGTACATTACAGCTGTAATTGCTGCAGGCTTGCCTAACCAACCGCCAACAACTTGTTGATTTTCTCAATTCGCTTGCGGATAATCTTGAACCCGTGAAATATTCTATGTGTCTGTTGTCTGTAATATTGGCGGAATTGTATTAATTTTTAATTATGCTGCCAACATAAATTCTGCGAATGTATTGCTATCACGTGTACAAAAATTGTTTAATTTCGTTATGTGTATCAAACAGCTGATAAATTAGTCAATAAGATGGTAACTTTTGCCTCATTATTTCCAATGATTTAGTGCACATCAAAGCTTTTTTATTTTGAATTGATTGTAAAATGTTCAAATAATAAATCACACTGAAAATAATATACTCTTTTGCATTTAATTACATTTTATTTATAAATAATAATACCGTTTGTTATTATTCGTCTGCAACACTCACGACCACAACTCGACGCAAGTTTCAACTAACATTTCAGAGTGACCATATAATCCAAAATACCATATGGGTATTCCTCGAATTTTATTTTATTTTTTATAAATGTTTTTAACTCAAAATTGCGTTATATTTTCATATTTGTCAGTTAAAGCATATTTAAAAAATCAACAAATTATTTTAAAATGCTCCCACATTCCAAATCACATTTCAATTTCTTGTACCTATTATATATTAATGATAAAATGGCTCAAGATTAAAGGCTCTGGTTTTTCAGTATTTTATTAATACAAATTATAAGCATATTCGTATTTTATAGAAATAGTCATACCTTATTTTTCCTTGTGATCTTATCAATGTGCATAATACTTTTCAGCGCATAGCATATTAAGATATTTGTATTTACAAGTTTATTATGGCGGCATCATCTATACGAAAACACAGCGCATCTGTGATATTTTTCCATGGCTCCGGTGATACCGGACCGAATCTAATAGAATGGGTCCGCTTCTTACTTGGCCGAGATTTTGACCTTTCGCACATCAAATTGATATACCCAACAGCTCCAACGCAAAAGTATACTCCATTAAATGGGCAGCTTTCCACAGTTTGGTTCGATCGACGATCAGTGAATATTGCAGCTCAAGAGAGCCGAAAGAGCATGGCCCAGAGTTATGAGATTGTGAATAAGCTAATCCAGGATGAAGTAGACCTTGGCATACCGCTGAATCGCATAATTGTAGGTGGGTTTTCAATGGGCGGGGCCTTAGCTTTACACGCCGGTTACCATCTGAATACTGGTCTGGCAGGAGTATTTGCGCACTCATCTTTCCTTAATCGCAAGTCGATAGTCTACGAATCTCTGGAAAGCCAAAAACCAACACAAAGTACACTGCCGGAACTTCGTATGTACCACGGTGAGCGCGATACATTGGTTCCTCTGGAATGGGGGCTTGAGACATTTGAGTCCCTGCAAAAATTGGGTGTAACTGGCACATTTACGCCTCTAAAGAACACACTGCACGAACTGAAAAGAAGCTCTCTTCTCGACCTACAGGAATGGATAGCTAAAAAGCTTCCGCCCTTAAGTACTGAAATTGCCAATAAACTTTGATGAAATGTAGTTCCCATTTATCTGGAATAAATGTTGTGAAATGGTATAAGTTGATTTTAATTCTAAATTTGTGTATTTGGAATGAATCCGTTGCAATGGGTGGAACCGCATAGACAAGGTTTTCCATTGAGCATTCCATTATAATTGTCTCCCCCAGCATAGTGAAAACATAATTCTTCATTGGCCAATATATCACGTTTAGCAAAGATCCCTAAAACAGATTCAAGCAAATATTAAAAATTTAATTAGCCGGCAGACTAATCTCTCACCAATTTTCGGTATGGGGCAGTTGGTTCGTACAGGTAAAATCTTGCAATTAGGTTGACAGCTATGGTTTAGATAGCGACCTATATTTCCACGTTTAGAGGGATCTACAATCGTAATTAATCTTGTCTTAGAATGCTCATAAAGGCATAAAATGTAATTCATTTGACAATTTTCATCAATAATTTGTATGCGCTTTTGAGCTTCTGATAGAGTCAAAAGCTCCCCTGCATATTCACAGATGAAAGCCCCACTAGGGATATATGCGGTCGTACGTAAGCCCTTCGATTTGTATAATGGCGATTCAAAAACCTCTAGTTTTTGGCGTGGTCCGTACTGCACTCGACGATTCAGACATTTGCTAATTTGGCATTCGCAGAGTTCGTTGCACTCAAGTATAGATCGAAATTGTTGACTTTCATTTGGAATGACCACCAATTCGCCCTTCACACGCATGTATTTCAGTCCGCCCTTGTGACAAAAATCAATGTTATTGCAGCAATTGTTGTTGTTTGAGCATTTACATGATAATGTCAGATGAGAATTGTAGTCATCCTGTAGGTGTCTGAACTCGAGACTCCCGTCGTCAGGCATGAGTACATTTTCTAAAATATACTCCACATTTTCCATATGATCGTAATTATCTTCAATTTCAATTAATGTTGACATCGATTTCATCTGCTGCATTTGGCTTGATTTCCTCTATTTTCAATACATGAAATACAAAGTTGCATGCATCGATATATCGATATATAAACGAATTAGTTTTAATCATACCTGCAAGCAAGATGTCTTTAAGCGGTTACACAAATAAATTTTGAATTCATTAATAAATAAAACAGAGCCTTTTTGATTTTTTTTTTAAATTTCTTTCTCATTATATTTTGAGTTTGATATAATTGAAGACCGATTTTTAATTATATACTAGATACAATTTTTTATTAAGATTAAAGAACGAGAACACTTTAATATTTATGATTCGGAAATCATTTTAGCTGAGTTTGTATATCATTATTTTTAAAAATATTTGTTGGAAAAAGAAAAAAAAAATGCGTTTACTCAAAAGATCGAATAAATGTCCTGTACTTCATTTAAAGTTACATCTTTAATCAAGAAAGTCTGTTCTATAAGTAGTACCAGAAAAGGAGTTATTCTGCGAGATATGCTAAGATAACATAATTACAAATATATAAAAAGATATTTCTGTTATTTATGACAGACAAATGCAGATACCTAGACCAAATTTTGGTTGGTTAAGTTTAAGTTGAGAAAGAAAGGTTACTTTAATTAATTAATTAATAATAGCCATACAAGACGAAAATTATATTTTAATTTTCTGTAAAATGGAGTGTTTCAAGGTTTTAAATACCGTTAATTTTGTTATGATTCATCTGTCATCAATGAACACAAATTTGCAACCAATAAAATCGATAATAAAAAACCTATTTGTGGCCATCGATTTGTTCAACATCTACCAGGCACTCATAAAGCTGTAGTTGTATGCAAGTACATACAAATAAGGCTCAAAGCATTAACTTCCCATAGCCGTTCCATCGCTCAACGATTCCCACCATTTTCATAGCATTCGCAGGCGCAGCACTTACACCTTACATATACAGAAATACGCGCGTGTGTGTGGTATATACATACACATATACAAATACACATAGTACCCGAATTGTTAGACTCCTTCGTCTATACAAATTACACTATACAACAGAGTTTTGGAGTTAATTGATTTGCAATACAACACACACGTCCAGCATTTAGTACATTATTCTAAACACAATTTTTTGTATTGAACTGTGTAAACTATTTTTAAGGAAAAGTTTCAACACTTTTTTCAAGTGTCAATCTATTAAAAAAAAATATAAATAATAATAAATACTCAATTCTCAGATATTTGACCATATCGTTAATAAATTGCAATTTGAATAAACATGTGTTTGCAATAGAACAAAATTGAGTTTTTACCATTTGTCAAAATCGTGGTGGTGGTGGTGTCCGAGATGGTAAATAAATTAACTTACCACAGTTGGTACTTCAAGTTTCAAACCCACTTGTGCCTTGTCCTTCATTTATAGTTGGCGTTCTTTGTTTCATTTGAAACAGTCTGGCAGCACTCACACTGGTAGCAAACGCAATTCATGTATTTAATTGTGTGTACCGAAACACAATCCACATCTACATTGTACCAAAACTATGTGTATGTAGTACTTTTTGTTTATTCTCTACTTATCTCTACTTATCTACTTATGTATATGCTTGGTAATTAATAATAATTTGTAACATTTTCATCATAAATAGTATATAGAAAAAATTGATATGTATATGTATAAAATTAACAAACAAATAGGACAAGTTTAGCTAGGTAGTTGAGTTTATACATATATAAATTAGTTTTGACATGTACCATACAAATATACTTACTGTGCATAAATTTGTACAGTTAATATACAAAATCAAAACAATTATTTGTGAGTATCTTAACTCGCCTGAGTCAACCTTCTATTATTATGCCATGCCTCCGATCACTAAACCGTACTACATATGCGAATGTATGCATATATGTATACATGTGAGTATGCATACATACCGCCATCTCTCTCACAAAACGCCGAGTAGCTACCAGACAGTTTTCGGTGTCAGTGTCTCCACATCCTCAGGCGTGGTGCGTTGTGTTTTGTTGCGAGAGTGCACGAAGTTGGAATATACATACACGCTTTACGTTTGTACGTTCGCTGAGTTCTTCCAAAAAACGCAGCTGCTAATTTACTTAACTTCAATTAAGTTTAAATAACTCAAGATGTGCAAATGCTTAGCCGGAAACGTTGCATGCTGGTAAGTTTAATTTAATACAAATGTTTTGCAAATTGCTCTGTTTAGTATGTATGTATATACATATGTATGTACGTGCATTCATGAATACAAAACGTCTGCGTACTTGGATATTTGTATGTAACGCATTATTCTAGAGAGCATGCATAGACGAATCTCTGTACATGCATAATATACATAAACATACATATGTATGTACTTTAATGTAGCAAATAAATACATCATACATGTACAGTAACAAACATATACTTTAATATTTGTAAAGTGAATTAAAAATTTTATGATCGTAGTGTGTATTGCGTTTTATTTATTATTAATGATTTAAGTATTTTGTTTAATTTGGATTAAACATCTCTTTCCTGTAGATATGTGTGCATGTGTGTTTGTCTGTCTTATACATCTGAAGTGTAAGTGTATAAGAAGACATTTATCATTGAGATAAGAATATGAACAGATATGTTTTTATATCCAGTTCTATATTCGGTATAATACAAGTGAGATGGTGAGACAGGTGTATTAAATGTTGACAGAAACCCATACATAGACACGTATCGTATGAATATTAGTAGCCTATATTTCTTAGGAGTAAGAATTAATGTTACAAGCTAAAATATATAATACATCAGAATTGTATGTATGTATATATTCGAATGGACCGGCGTCATTGGAAGCATTATTGCTATAATACCAGTGATGGGAGCAATTACAGATTGTAAATATACAGAGAACGATCAACAATTCAAAGGGTAGCGCTAAATCTTCAAAAATTATACAAATATCAGTATTAAAGTTGGCGCTTGAGTGTGTTCTTGAACCGTATATGCTCGTTCTGAATCATGAGCGAGTATTATGCAGTCGGTTGTGATTGCAATGTATTTCTATCATGTATAATTTTCTTAATAATTAAATTCGTAATAGCATTACTCGTTACAGTTGTTTTTCTTTCCATATTATCTTGCTTGTTGTATATTTGAATATGAATTATATGTAGAAACTTCATAGGTTAACTACTTGTAATTATGATAAATATTATCAAAAATATATACTATAGTTGTGTTGAATAAATTAGCTGATTGTTTTTATCAAAGTAAATCTGACATTTTATAAATGAGTATAAATGCTAATGTTATTAGCTTATTAGCCTACTAAACTTTTGATGATCGGCCAATGTTGTAATGTTCATACCACGCTAAATTCAAATGGAAATTTGGAACACTGTGGTTGTTTATATAATTAAAATAGAAAATTATTCATCGCACAGAAATTGCTAATCCGGTTTCATGACAATACAACATTATTGCAGGAGAGTAAATATGGGCTAACTATGAATACATACATACATATATTATATATACTAATTGCCAGAGTACTGTCACCCTCGTTTCTCACAGTTATATTTGTATGTATACATACACTATGCTTTGGTATCTCTATTACAAATGCGTATTGCGTATTCGCTTGGCTCCAGCTCGTCTCGGCTCCACTCAGGCGAGACAGCATAATGATGTTTTACTATTTGTGCTGCTATCCTTCGTGGTAGCACACACCCAGGATAATATTCAGTTGGCCGACAGCTGGGCACCAATTTGACATTTTTATGCATAAGCGCCCAGGAAACAACAAGCTCGCGTGCCCAAGGGTAGAATTTACTGTATATCATTTCTAGTTTTATATCACCCACATTCTTTATTTATTTTATTTTGTTTGCCACAGAGTGCGTAATTTATAGAAGTCCCCGCCGACGACCTCATAAAGTAGATAGATATGTAAATTGCTTATCAGGATCAAAACTCATGAAGGCATGCCCTGTTACTTTATAATCAAAAAATTAAACTTATAATTTGTCTTTGTAGAATTATAGTAATAATTGAAAAACAGGGGGAATAATTATTAATTAATTCGTTACTCTCCATAGCAATTTATATCTTATAAATGGGCGAAATTCAATTTATTTTTCCTTAGTATAAATCAATAGTATATAAAAATTATAAAAAAATTATATTAATTATTATAATTCAATATATTATTATATTATATATTTATTATAAAAGACTAAAATTGAAATTTTAATTAGTCTATTCTTTGATAGCTCAATGCAAATAACGAAGTACGAAAGTATAAAATATTTAGAAAATCATCGCCATAATTATTAGGTCAAGGATGACTTAATTTAGAATTCGAATAAGCAGGTTATGAATGGATTCACTCATACATATATGTAAACATGAGAGTTATTGTATAAATATATATATTGATATACATAATGATGATTACATAATTTTAAAATTTACACGTTAAACAAATATTTAACATATTCTCCAGCTGATCGATTCATATTTATCTCCTCCTTATTTTCAGCTGCTTCAGCTGCGCACTTAGCATGCTGCTGTCGATAATCAGTGCATTCTTTGTGGTCATTGTTATTGTTGGATTGCTGGTGTATTTCTTTTACTACCATGAGCAGGATGATCATGATGTCAACAAGATTAAAAATGACCTTCAAGACGGGTTTAAAAACACGTACGACAAGATTAAAAATGGCCTAAATTAATAATTTAAGAGGTATTTATGATGGTAATAGTTTTATTTCACCTATTATATATTTACGTTTCTGAAAAATCTTTTACTTCTAGTGCCAAGCAGTTTTAAAAATGGCCTTCAATAATCAAACTTTTACGGAATGTGTTTCCTTTTCAAACCGACCACCATAATGACCTAAAAACGCAGTTCAAACACAACATTACGAGTCGATTGATGTAGTTTTTGCTTTGAAGTCGTCGACAACAAATGAACATTACTTTTAAGCTTTGATAAATATTTATAAAAATATATGAGAAACTCTAATAATTTATTTATTCCATTTAACGTCTATATACAATAAAAACATTTACAATATCTTAAACAAGTGTTCTCTTTAAATTTTGTGTATTATTTTAACAAAGTGTGCAAAGTCCGTCCCGCTATCCATCCGTTTTTCCTTTTTTATATGGACGGAAATCTTACGCCTCTTGAGTCTGGGTCTAATCCTCACAAATAGATAGTTCAGAACAGTAAACTCTTTTTAGAAATTTTTGAACAAAGATATAAAACAGCCGTCGTAATCTATTTTACGTTTATTCATAGCCCGCTCATTAGGACATGGCATATCCAAAATTATAGATTTTTTAACCGATGGGTCGCATTCGACATAGAGCAAGCAACCACATAATGCATGTAGTTGGCACATTTAATGAAAATAGTCAATAATCGGTTATAAAAGTTATATATGGTCTTTATTTTTGCTTAACTCAAACATATTGTGTATTAAATTTAAATATAAATATAATTTATATAGAGTGTTAAGTAAATCGGTGCTTCTATCATTAATGTTTATTCCTACAACGAATATGTACACAATTATCTAACTGGCAGCATGTTTGCCTAGAACTTATTTGTAAATCTGTATATACAAGAATCTGATCTGATCTGATTGTGTTCATTTGATCATATTATGTCAATATGGCAGTTATTACGAAAGTAATTTTCGGCGATTATTTCGGGACTGACACACTAACGCCAACAACTCCTGATCATATTTTAAGAGTAATCACGAAACATGCATAAATTATTCATATACATAAATGCAAAGTGTGAGTGGTCCGGGAATTCTGGTCGCATCATACTTAAAGTTATTCATGTGCTTTAATTCAAATTTACAATATCTTGAGAGTACTTTAAAAGTGGCTACATGTAGGTCTTAGTCGACGATCCTTGACGGATTCAGGTGTACACAAAAGCTAAGTTATACTAACTTTAAATATCTCACTTCAATTCAAATAACAGTTAAATAATACTTCAATTATTCACAATAAAAAAGCAGATAAAAGTGCTTTAAATCTGAAATGAAATATGGCTGGAAGAATGAAGATTGAAGATTGTTTATAAATTGGCTTTTATATTTAAGCGTTGATCTTTATAGAAAAGCCAAAGTAAAAGAGCTAAAGCATTCGTTAATTAGCTCTTACAAAGTGGCAGATTAAAATTTAGCACTTGGCGGTTTCTTGAAGTGAATCTAAATTTATGGCAAAAGGCATAAAATGCATGACATTGCAGATCTTTAAACTAAATTGATTTAGCAATTTTTAAATTACCTCAAGTCTAAGTTTATATAGTTTTTAAAACTCTTCTTGTCATTGAATCGGATCAGAATGCCAGCAGCATTGAAACCTGGCTGGTTTTGCTGATGATTTCATGATGTACGAGAAATAAAAACATAAAGTCCTCAGCTTGTGTGATACTGTATAAAATAGGAACACAATTATTAAGTGAAATAACCTACATATGAGTTGTGGGAAATAAATCTAGTAGGAATAATCTTCATAATGGTAAGATGAAACATTGAGTATGCAAATTAAAATACGTTAGCTTAATCCATTCCTAACACCTGCCGCTCAAGCATTGAGATTAAATCGTTAATGAAAAGTAGTTTGTGCTCTTGCCACATAATGCAACTAATAATAAAGAGTCGTCGTCGATGTAATTCGAGTATTTATTAGATGCCTTTCGTAAAGTAAAAACTATGCAATAATCCTAAATATCAACAGGTCTGCACGCCCTTATCCATATGCGATATATGTATTTATAGATATGTATATATATGTACAATTCAATACAATTTGTGAGGCGAGCACTTTGGCTCAGTTTGTGTACAAGTGTGTGACGATTTATCGCTTCAAAGATTAAAGCCTTAGAGGCTATCACATACACATATATATACATATAGACGTATATGTATATATATTTGTAGACTGAAAATGTCTGTTTATGAATACTGTGGAGACTCTCCGCCTGATGCTATTTTCTTAACGCGGCTCACATCGTCGTAGGCAATCGAAAAGACACTTTTCTTTTCAGCTATAGGATTCCTTCGTCCCATACTATTCATAAGGGAGTTCATGGCGATGCCCGAGTCGTGGTCGTCCTCGAGAGTGGATACATTCAGTTGCTTTTGAGCATGAGATGAGAGGTGTGCGGTATTGGGGTCTTCCACGTAGAGATTTATTTTTGACTTCGTCAGCTTTACTTCATTCTCCTTGATGGGAGACGGCTTCGGCTTATGCTTCTGCGATTGCTGATCCTTGTCCGGTGGTGCCGCATGTGGCGGAGTTTCGGGATACATATAGTGTGGCAGCTTGGTGGGTGGTGGTGGCACTTCCGGAGCGTTCTCTCGTTCGAAACGATGCTCCGAATGCTGCAGCAGCGGATGATTCGTATCAGTCTCTGTTTTGGGCTTGTGCTGCTTATTCAAGGCTCTGTCCTCTTTGAGCAGCCGACTGCCCTTTGGTGGAGATCTTCGAGGCGCGGGCTCCGGCTTGAATCTCGCCGCCTCATCATTTGCCTGATCTTCGACTTTCGAGTTCATTCTCATTTTTGTCATACGTTTCTCTGTAGCAGAAATTTTCTTTTTGACCGACATCTGGGATTTTGACGACTCAGTTGAAGTTCGACCGCTGACAGACGGTTTCTTCTTACTATAATACCACTCCATATATTTGGGTACGTTTCGAGAAGTTGATTCATCGCGGCCAGCCAATTCGTTTTCACTTTGGTAGAGTCGATCGTTTAGGGATTGCTTTGATCCCCCTATATGAGCTAAATTATAATGCGGCTCTTTATCATTTTCGGCTCTTTGCATGTCGTGCTTTAAAACTGAAATACGGTGGTGCGGTGGTTCCGAAGACGTTTGCTTTCGGGAGTTTTGACTGCGCCTCGAACTGTCCCGACGGGAAAGTCTGGGCCTAGCCTCTGGCTGTGTTTCGTGTGGCTCTGGTGGTGGAGAAATGTTTACGGATCTACTTTGGTGGGATGCATTTTTCGCTTGTGGCTCATGGCGCCCAGAGTCTTGAGATGCCCTGGTGTAGACACTTCGTGTATAAGCATAGCTTGATAAGTTTGAGTTGGTTCTAATTACAATCTCATCGTCATCGGAATCAATTGAGTATTCAGTATCATTTTCGTCGACTTCGCCCTCAACGTTATCGTAATACTGTTCACCTCTGCGTGATCTGGGACTTCCGTTTTCATCCAGAGAGTCCGATATTTCCATAAGTACTTCGCGGCTTAGCGCTTCCGACTTGTGCTTGCCATTGGACTCTTTGGCCACATCACTTCTTCGGCTTTCGTCACTCAGCTGCTTCCGCAGAATACTCGTTTTTGTCTCGCGGAGTGGCTTCTTGGGTGGCATTCGCCTCTTCTTCTCGTGCATCTCCTCCTCCTCCTTTATGGGGGTTCGTATTTTGCGCTTCACCTCTTCGACCATCACGATTCTCTTTCGAGGCTGCAAGCTGCCGCGCAGCCGTAGTCGCCTTTTGGGTTGATGCCGCTTTATCCAATACACACCTTCGGGACTGTTTGGGGGGCTAAAGCGCACGTACTTGTATTCGTCTTCCGACAGCGAGTCGTCATTCTCACTGCGCGCTCGCCGACGAGTGGAGCCGACTTGGGCCTGCGAGTGGACCATTTGCTTGGCACTGAAATTCTCAGTCTGCTCGGTTTGGGTGCCAGCGTCGCAGTCAGTTTGGGTCCCTATCGCCATCGACTGGCCCGGAAGACTTTGTGTTTCTAAGATAATTTCGTGCTGTGTATATCTAGTTTCTAGTTTCTCTTTTTCCAGCAATATCTGACGCAAAAGCGCATTTTGCTGCTTGAGTGAGTGCTCCAGTTCCTGTGTAAGCGACTGATTCGGGGCGACGGGCTGGAGCTGTGATATGTCCTCCGCACCCTGAACTGACTGCGTGTGTATGACTTTGACTTCAGGCTCGGTTTGGGAGTAGACAATGCTGTTTGGTCCCGATTTGCCCAAGGGAAATGTGTCGCCCTTGAGTGTAGATCCTTGTATTTCGTTTGGCATTGACTGAATATAAGTTGCGCCTGGTACAATATGATAGTGCTCCCGAATTATCTGCTTTCCATCTGGCTGCTCTTCAATAAACCGGCGCATCAGGATCTCTTTGCCCGTATTGTCCACCATCAGCAGTTGTGGATGCGAGAGGTTTGCAGATGACTTAACTGGAACATTGACGTATATATTGTCATCGTCTAGTGCAGCTCCGTCCCGAGTCTTGTCCCGTGTCATAAGCTGCAGGATTTCGACATTTCCGTCCTTTATGAAAAGTTCGCGCTTATTCTTTAGACTATTCTGGGCAGTATTAAAGTCGATGTCGCTTCCTCGGTCTATTTCGTGCCTTCGCATGGAGTCATCGTCGATTTGTCTGGTATCCGAGTCGTAAATTTTCAAGCGACTGTGCTCCAATGGTCTATTCTGTTTGTTGCGGGAGAACTCCTCCTTGACTTGCACTAAGTTCTGGTCGTCCATTACGTCCTCAATATATACGTCCCGGTCGTTTATTAAATTGGTTCTAGAATTATGAAAACTATGATGTGTGTCTTCTTTGGTTGTATGACTGTTTCTAGAAGAAAAATAATTTTAGCTGTGATTGCAATCCACGAATGTTTGGAAGATTTTAGCAGTACTTAATGCGGACTCGTCTCTGCTGGTATTCCTCAGACTCTGCGTGCCGGACTGCATCGGCATCGGTGTTGACGCCTGCGTGGTGCATTTCTACGTTTTCAGGCTGTTCACGTCCATCGCGGAACTCCCAGCGGGTAGGTTTTGTACGTGTATCTGATGGCTTATCCGCGGACCAAGCCTCTCGTCTTCCCATCCACTCTGCGACCTGTAAGTTGGTTGGGACATTATTATATGTAAACTAATAGGTTCTATTAAAAAAAAATTAACTGAATACAGTTTAATTTTGAAAATAAAAATTGGATATAAAAGGCAGCTGTTATTGAAAGTACTTTATGAAAGGGTTATTGATGGAAATAAAAAAGGGTGGATATTTAATTGAAAACTAAAGAGTGAATTTACTAACAACATTGCCATTTGGAAGTTTTTGATGTTTGCTATGTTTCGAAATGCTAAGAATTTGAAATCGGTCAAAATCTACCTGAACAGATTTTGTATGGTTTCCATTTGCCATTTCTCTATGCACTAGATGTACATCGTCTTCAGTTCTACTGATATTAACTATTCTTTTGCTACAAGAAAAGAGTAAACGATTAGATATGAAATGAGTGTTGTTGCGATGGTTAATAATGATATGCACATTAAAGATATATTTTTATGTATATTTTCCTCACTACTTTGAACTCTGTACTTAGTCTTGGGTACGATACTAGAGTGATTATTTTCTTGGAAAATATACCCAGTGACGATAAAATGCTTTAGATACTTTTCTTTGATTATTTTTAGAATATATAAGTGTATTAAAAATGATTTCTATAATGCAAAATTACTCACTACTCCTATATTGTGGGCTTGAATGGGTTTTTGATATAAATGCTTAAAGTATTCTTATTCCCTCATAATTCGTTCCTTATTAAAAAAGTTAACGTTCTTAATTTCATATGAATATTATCTTTTATCGTCTTTTTTTTTTTGTGTACAGAATTTTTAAAGTATTTGAAAAGTCAGACTTTAGTGCACGCGATGTGGAATGCAGAACGTCTTTGGTTGCTTAAACAGCGTTTTGGCATTTCGTATGGCTTTGAATGGTATCTTCTCCAGTGTCGAATCAAATACCGAGACTAAGTTACCGATTCAAGGAGCAAGGGGTGAAAGTATAGGATTATCTTTATAATGCCCCTTCAGAACATTACGCTCTACATTTTACTTACGTTGCTGCGCCATACAGAGGACACCAGGAGCATATACAGCAGAGTAGAAGGATCAGGATCGTCAGGGCAACCAGGGTGGCCAGTAGTATGAGAAGCCAAAATAGCACTTTATTTTCGGCCTTATACTGCGTCTGCAAGGGAGTGAGAGTCTATTAACAAACACCAGCTATTAGTCTCTCAGTAATGCGATCTGGATTATAGGCAGGAATACTTACGTCGGTCCGCGTTGTGTCCTCCGGCATGATCGCGTACGAGTTATTGTGCTGCGAGAGTCGCTGCTGTATCTGCGAGATATCAACCACGGATGAGCTGTCGTACAGCACGGTCGCTGTGACTACACTGCGTTCCTTGATGTTCGGATTGTCATTGGGTATATCCTTAGCCCCCGGCTCCTCGGGCCTTAATGGTCGTATTTCATGGATGTAAACCTTTCCGCCCGTTATCGCCGATAGTGTTTCCTCTGTCTTGCGCTTGTCCAGCTTGCTGCCAGGCACCACAAACGTCACAATGCGCTTGCGACTCTCTGGTGGGTAAATGCGTATGGAGGTGGTCGATGAACGCACTGGTACTCCTAGATCGTAAGCTCGAGCGGTCAGTATGAATAAATCGTCTTCATTGCCGATTGGCGGCGTGGCGTCAACATCTCGACGCCTTCTCTGACTGGCGTGCTTTTTAGAACGCAGATTGATCTTTTCCCGGACCGTTAACTCGCCCGTCACCTTGTCCAGTACAAAATTGTTCTGATAGTTGCCGTTGATCAGCTCGTAGCGCACTTCGTTGTTCGGCGCTGTTGCGTCCTTGTCAGTGGCATGAATGAAGGCGCTGGTTGTAAAGCCCATTAGGTCTGTTGCGAGTATGAACTCGTACAGGTCCTTATCGAAGACGGGCACTTCATCGTTTACATCAATGAGCTTGATGATGAGGGGAACCTGGGCTCGATTTCCAGCACCGTCCATATCCCGAGCCTCCACATACAGGTGATACTCGGGCATTAGTTCGCGATCGAATCCATGGCTGTTGGTCGCGACAGTGATCAAGCCGGTCTCCGCATTCAGGTTGAGAGAAGTGTTGAGGTATCCGAGGATAGCTGTATATCGCACCTTTCCACCCAATCCCGTGTCGAGGTCGCTGGCGTGAACCTGCACGACTTTTGTGCCTACCGTCATGTTCTCCGGCAGCTCAACCGTATAGCCTGGTTGATCGAAGACGGGCGTATTATCGTTTACGTCGTTTATATATACCGTGACGTTAACCATGGCCGAAAGATTTGTGGCTGGCCCCAATTCCTGGGCCAAAATCTTAAACTGAACCGATTGCCTTTGCTCGAAGTCCAGCCACGAATTGTCTCGTACACGAATAAGGAACGAAGCGCTCCGCTCAGCTACATTCGGTGTGATCTCAAACGTTCCATTATTGTTCAGCAACGTAAGCGAAAATACGCCGTTCTTCCCAGTATCGTCGTCATACACTCTGGGCACATATGGGTCCATGAACGTCAGCGCTGTCCCTTGCAAGGCGTTCTCGTCAACCCTTGTGACGTAGCTTAAATATAACAAGAAAGCATATTCAATTGTTAGAGTGAAACTCGCTCCATGAACAGTTCCAGACATTTACTTTGGGGTGGGTTTCCTAAATTAACATTTGAAATCTTTTGGGTTATCTGAGAAGTTGACCTTGAAGACACTCGGTTGCAGCCGGTTTGTACCAACTGCATAATGCTAATTCACGCTATAAAATCTTATATATATAAAATATATTTTTTATGTGAGTATTCAGATTTAAACAGAGTATATCTATATATAATCAAAATATTTTTCAGAAAGGAAGAGACGGTGAAAAGCTTGCTTATTGTTCTGATTAGGAATATATATAAAATATGTTCTTCAAATACCCTCTGACTTTACATTAAATATCACCCAACATACAACGATCATTGTTCTGAGTCCGAATAATTGATTTTTGTTTTAGGGCTTATAAACATTTTCGCATGAATGCCTATCATAGCAAGAGCTGCAAGTGTGTACGAATATGCGATCATTCTATCCCTTTCAAGCATCGAATACTTACTGATCGTTTTCAAAGTAAGGAGGCGAGTTGGTACGGTCCGGTAGGAAGAACGCCAATTGCACTGTGGAAGCCATCGCTGCGGGTTCGTCACGACCGACTTTAACTTCTTCCGCAATTACAGTGAGTAAGACGGGATCGCCCGCATGCGTGATTGCTGCAATGTCTTCGAGTGGTCTCATTAAAAAAATTTCACCTGCAAAATGACGTAATTGTATTTTAAATTAAAATGTATATTTGAAAGATGCTCAATTCGTTCTTCCAGTTGATTGCATTTTGCAACAGATTCGAGTAGTAAGAATGCTCCAGGAGTGAATGCTTAAATAGGAAAAACTTCGAATCTGATGCTTACTTTTTTCTTAAATATACTAGAAATAATATGTATTACTACCAAGACTACATATTGCGTAAAAGACGAACTGAACTGAGTTTTAAAATAATGTTATTTACATTATTTAGTTCTCTTTCTACAGAAGTAATCCTATATACTAGCTCTGTCCATAAGTTGACATTTTGAAGAAGATGATTCAATCGCTTCAATCTATCAAGAGGAAACACGCAAAGCCTTTAATGAATTCAAACCCTGACCCAGTGACACATAAAAATCACATAACTTAATTCATTCAACTTATAAATGTGGCTTGGACGACAAAGGATGGGCTGTCTCAGACATCAGAATTTACTGCTACAGTAAAAATATGTATATCTTAAGCTCTGCATTTTCAAAATCAGTTTATTGCTCTACTCTGCCTAGGGAATTGGTCCTAGAAGTGAACAAAAAATTACAAATTTCTTCCGTGGGACAGACAGAATTGATGAGTAGATAGGCTTAATGAGGTCGGAGATTCCACCTTCCATTTGCCGCATGTAGTTGCAACAAAGTGCTGTGCCTCTAGCTCATGTATCTGTTCTGCGGAAATGGGAATACGTTTTTTTCTACAGAGTATTTATTGAAGTCAACTCTTTTTCACAAAAAGCATAACTCACTTGACAGCCCTGGGAACAGTTTTTTCTCTGGAGGAAAAAACCCCTGCTCTCCTGATAATTGACTGGTCGATGCAATAACCGAACGATAATGTTAATTTTTACACTCATTTGCGAAGTGAGAAAACTATACCAGTTTTTTCTGTCTGAACAAATGACACACCTCGTTTAATATAAAATTTATGGTAAAGATGATTTGCAAAAATTTAACCAGGATTATTTAAGATAAGTATAATGCAGTTAGATTGGTTTCTTACACTAATTCCGACTGAATTCCGATTGATAAACAATCATAAGCAACAAATATCAATTATGAAATCGCTGAAATACGCAACAACTCAACGAGAATATCGCATATTTCCGCAAAAACGGGGGTGGGGGAGGGCTGTCGACGAAAGTTTATAAGTGCACACATGCACAGAAATGCAGTTGGGCCAAGGCGCAACGTGTTTCGCGGCCTCGTCTGCAGGCAGCGCAATAGCAGGCCGCCGTCTAGAGAGCCGACTGAAGAGGTTCCATTGCCTGGGCCAGAGTCATTGCCGTCAAACTGGCAATGAACTAGAGAAGCACGAAACAAGGAAGCTTAACCGCAATCATTGTGACGCGACTGAGACAGCGGGAAGGGTGAGGGCGAAGGCGAGGGCGACGGCGACGGAGACGGCGACAGCGATGGCGAAGGCAAAGTCGTTGCGGAGCCCAGAGCTAAATTGCAGCTCCAGAACTTGGTCACAGCGCACATTGAAGATGGCTTTGCCATCTAACGAGTTAAGCGATGGACCGGATTGAAGCTGGCCCGTTCGATTGCTGGTGGTTATGTTAATATCTTTTTGATGTCATTGTTTCGCTTTTTTATACCCTACTCTGCGCATAAAAATCTGTATAAAGGGGAACAAATTTGTTTTTTTTTTATTCTATTCCATCCTATAGCTAGCAAAAAATCTGCGACTGTTTAATGCGCTTGGCCTTTACATAATGTATATATCAGCAGATATGTCTATACTAAAACTACTCAAATCATTTCGAAGCTTCTCCCAGTGAATTTCGTAGTCTCGCATAAATATTTACAAACATGAATCAAATCCACTAGATAAGGCGATTCTTAGACTTTGTTCATGTCAATGAATGCTCAATTGTTGATATAAAGTATACAGAATATCTTTACAATAATCTAATCTAAAGAGTAGTTATAATTTGCTCGATCAATAATTAATATTGGGTAATATATATGAAATCGACTTACCACTTGTATCGTTGATGTCAAAAAAAGAAGTAAATGGATTATTTTCAGAAACTAGGCCATATCGCACTTCCCGCGGGTTTCCCTTGTCCCCGTCTTCCGCATGGACTTGCAATATCTAGGATTCGAGTATTAGATAACATTCTTATTTTCTATTTAATATGTAATATATTTCTAAATTACCTTATCGCCTGGAAGAATGCCGGATTGCAGTTTTGTAACTGGAGGAGCTATAGTAAATACAGGCGGCTGATCTTGTACATCTTGGACGATAACAACGATTTCAATGCCAGCAATATTGCGCCCATCTTGTCCAGGCTCCGCATATGCATCCTACGTGGGAATAAAACTTATAGTTATTCATCGTAAACCCTTAAATAACCGGGAGTTACGTACATTGGCAAGAATTGTTAAATGGTACATGGCTTGTTTTTCGAAATCCAAGGGACCCAAGAGGAACACGGTTCCTTCCGTCGTCTCCGCTGATATAATTTTTTGTCTTATGGCAAATAAAGGCGAACCCTAAAGTTAAAACATTTGAATATTTATTTTCATACGCTCCCAATACGACTCACCCATAACTCGAGGTAGACTGGCTTTTGGAAAAGTGGATTCTTTCTGGCAATTACATAATCAAGTTCTGTACCTCTCTTGGCATCCTAGAGTTAGCAATTAAAAAACATAATATTCGCAAATCGTGAATATGTTAGTATTTAGAATATTATAAATACTTTGTAAAGGCCTCGTGACTAATTTAATGAATTGGAATTCTTAGGAAAATTGTTTATGAAATAATTTAAAGATCTTTGATCTGCACTCACCTCAGGTATCATGATGATGCCCGGCTTATGTGGAAATATTAGGTCATGCGGTGTACTGAAGTTGGTTGCTGTAATTGAACACAATTGCGTAGCCATGCCACCATTTGTGTCCCTAACCGAGACTTGAAAATCGTAGAAGCGGCCCGACTCAAGGCGTCGTTGCAGCACAACGTTGGCTTGACAGACGGAATTGTACTTGGTACATGGAAGCGATTCCACCTTGAAGGTGGACGAGGATACATCACCCATAAACTCAAAGGTCAATGGATAGTCGAACTCCTCGTCGGTTGCACGCAATCTGTAGATTACAGACCCGACCTGTGCGTCAGCCGGCACCAGAACTAGTCTCATCCGCGTTGAGGGGTCGAATTTGGGATCCACTCCGTGAACGTGATGTAGACACAGAATTCCAATTAGGAGGCTGATTGTCAGCAATCGATAGGCGGTCATTGCGCTCAGCCATGGGCCAAATTGTAAAGGTGGCCGACACTGACGTTGCTGCTGAGGCTGTGTCTGAGGCTGAAGCTGAAGGTGAAGCTGGGAGGTAGGTGGTTGATGATAGTAACATTCTTCTTGCCTTCGCTTGCTAGCATCTGAAATCGTGTTGCTTGCAGCGGTTCTCAGACCACAATATGGCTCATGTGTTAGGCTGTGACTTTTTCTGCGGAAAATGTTGCTACTGCTGGAAGCCATTGCTGCAATGAAAGACGAAGATATATTTCTTAAAATACATGCAATTTTTTACGTTCATTAACTGCGCGGATGGAATATAATGGAACCAAACTAAAATGCTTTAATCTGCAGTACATTCCTTAAGTACATTTTTCCTAACCATTGTTCTTTGCACAATCGAAAATTATACTTTAAATATTTTTGTATAATAATTAGATATTCCTCAAATATCGCTTGCCTTGCACACTTAAATGAGTTTTGTAGATAACAATTGATCTTCTGGGTAGCAATTGATCCTCTATAAACACTTTTATTTGAATATCATAAAAGCTAGTGCTATTAGGCTCTGTTAATATTTATTTATTAGTATTTGTTAAATTTTCTCCTAAAACCTTACAAAACTCATTTTAGATAATCATTTTAAATTCCTTAAATTTAATTAGGATTATGACCTGCTATCATGAAATTTATGTTGCAAAATAAATTCATTAAGAAAGAAAAAAAAAAAATTAAAAGAAAGAAAATACTTATTTTGTTTTAGAAAAAGTTTGATGTAAGGGGGATTTCGAAAGGTTCTAAAAACCTTAAGATATTAGCCCTTGACAATTACATCGCTCTAAACACGGAGTTGACAACGTCTTACGACCTAGTTTGAGCAACGGGCTTAAACTACTTTCGAATAAGTAGGTTATGCCGTACGCTGTGCCGCATATGTACTGATATAGATCATCTAGCATGCGGAACAAGAACCTCGAGAACGGTTGCCAGCCAGACAGTTAAATAGTTTTATTGCTTTAATTCGAAATAAACATATACTCTCTGATAAGCTAAGTTCATGACACTGAAAACATACAAATATATACATATGTATTTTCTTTCTTGACAGAGCTCGCAAGTTAATTTGCTTGCTGTGATTAACGCGATTAAAGACAAATTACACAGCCTAAATACAGATCGAACGAATTCGCATTTGTACTTATCTGTCGGATGAACGAGTTCTACAGAATGCTTGACAAATAACTGAATTCCTCAATAGTTGATGATTATGTATCGATTCGAAACAAAAACGCATTGTGAGACATTAAGTCGAACGGCACAGCACATTAAGTGGTCACGTCTTCCTCTGCTCAGGCCCGACATGTTTCTTAACGTGAAATAATGTGTAACAATTACGACCGGTACTTAAATGTATCTCAGAGTGAACATTTTTTACGAGTAGCACAAGTGGAGCTGCGCTTCGGCTTTAACAAACTTCACACTTCCACATCCAGCAATACAAAACATAATGTAAAGCTGCCCTAGCTAGGGCTTTAACTGTACTGTACAGTACAGTAGGAAGAATATTCAACTGAACAGTAGGAAGAATATTCAATCTATGTGCAAACTCTAGTTTTATTAAGTAAAAAAGGTTTTGTCGATGTTTTAGCGTGATTATTTATATATAATCAAATATTAGAAATTGGACCATGGGCAACTGGTAACTGAAAAGTTTTGAAGCCTAGCTATCGATAATATACTCTATCGAAATTCCGATAGTTTATTTATGACACTACTTACCGTACAGTAATTGTACAATATTTTATTAATTAAATTTTTTTTATTTGAGAATATAAAATAATATTTTTTTATGCTTAGCTTTAAGGAAACATTATATTTCAAGCAAATAAGAAGCCATTCTAAATGAATGAATTGTTTTTTATAAAGTCTTGGATTGAAATTGAAGTCAACTAATGCTTTAAAGTTTTGCTCTAAGAATAATTAAATCAGGGTCAAGTCTTGTAGAAAGTACAGATAAATACATCTGGGATTGCATAGAGGATGGGATCTTAACTCTTATGCACTACTCTTCGACTCAGAATTTGGGAAATGAGCAACAGTATATACAGGCGCTGCATCTCCATTTGCGTCTTGTTTAATACTGCTCAAACTGCGAACTCGAACTTATTGTCAATCCGGTTTTGTCCGTCGAAACAACCGTCTGGCTTGTATGCTGGTTGCATTTGCGAATTTCCAGTTTGTGCAGCTGCAGTGCGCTGCACTGTCGTGTCCTTAGCTGCAGCTAGCTACATGCGAATGACCAGTTATGTCAGTCGATTTGGATGGAGTCGACTTGAAGCGAGGCGAGCCAACCAGCCAGCCAGCCAGCCAACAAGCCAGCTTGTGGCCACCCTCGCAACCCTCGCATTTGGCGCTGAGCCGTTTGAATTTACGGCCAAGTATGTTGCAATATTATGTTTTGCCCGCATTTGGATTAGACAGGCTCCAGCATAAGATACATAGGAGTGTAAGTGTTCATTTGTAAGTAAAGCGTCAGTCCCAGTCCCAGTCCCAGTTGCAGTCTCAGTCTCAGTCTCAGTCTCCGTCTCGGTCTTCGTCTCGGTCTTCGTCTCGGTCTCAACCTTAGGCTTTGTCTCATTCCCACTTGCAATATATGTCTTCTGTCCCTGCCTGCAACTCTTTCGAGTTTACTGGTTTTAAGACCTCGACAATATTGCGCAACAATATTTGTGCCATTTGTTTAATTTCTCCTAACATACATATGAATGGAAATCCCCAGCTAAACTGCTTGATTCGATGTGGTTAGGCGTATGCTGGACTGTGCACTTCAACATTTCGTTCGATCCTTAACTTGTATTTTCCTTAAGTTTTAGCTGATATCAATCAATTTTAAGATTCTGCAATATTTGAATTTGAATGACTTAAATAGAATCTGTACATTAAATGTTTTGCGATAGAATGTAATGTAATGTATATATTGATGATCAGTGTTAACAGTCGAGTCGTAAATACGAGTGTCTTGTCTATGCTGTTACTATAGCACACCTATTTCAATTAAATTGATTAGGATCTACATCAAGCTTTAGTTTCCTATTTTTTAAATTTTAAGCAAATACTAAACTATTCGTTTTTTTTTTAAATCAATATTTGGCCTTTTAATTATTTTAAAATTTATGAAAATGTAATAAATGTAATTACAAAAAACTATTTAAATAATGTGTTTAAACATTCTCCTTTAAATAATTTTTTCAACGCTTATCGATAAATGAAATGAAATGAAATTATAGATAGATACCGATTAGAGACCTTAGAATGAAAACACCCTATGCTCTATATACCCTAGATTCTCAATGCCTTAGATTCTAGATTCTTATTTGCCCTAGATACTAAAATTGATGTCACGGAACAGGCAAATTTTACATTATGCGAAATATATAAGATTTGGAAGGAAAGCCACAGTTGTTCATTAGATACGGATAAAACACAATTTTGCGTATTGTTAATCTTACAACCAGTCTAGAATTATGCTATATATAAATATTTTGAGTTGATATAAAGATACTCCCTATAATTATATATAATTATTTCTATATTTTACTTAGATATACAGAATTTACAAAAATTTTGTTTATGTTATTTCCCATTCAAATAGACTATACATAAAGAGAGTAAAACATTGAGAATCATGTACTCTTATCTCCTCAAGGGTATATGAACTTCGCTATGAGCTTTCCGTTTTGTATTTCGCTCCGATACGATTAATGTCCTTTCTTGTTTTTCGTAGTTAGTCTGGTCTGCTTCGCGACCGCGCCAAAAATCGTGAGTTCACTCCACAGCAAAACAAGATTTTGGGCGTTGTTCAATTTTTAGGTTGACTTCGCGGTCTGCATGCGGAAAATGCAGCAGCTTCGTGAGCTGAGAGCTGAGAGCTGTTAGCTGTGAGCTGTGTTACTTTTGTCTGTTTTTGGATTGCGACTATGACTATGGCTATGGCTACGGCTGGGGCTACGGCTGCGGCTGTGGCTGTGGCTATGACCGGCTGTGGTTGCACATTCAACTAGAATGAAAATTTGTGTTGCAAATAAAGTTGAACCCGATGGCAAACTAATCTGCTTCACGACAATGCCAGTCATATAACCAGCAAGCTATGCCTGGTAGGCTGGCTGGCTGGCTGCATGGCTGGCAACGAGCCAGCGACGCAGACTCGTAATCAACTTTTATTTAGCCGCTCTCGTACCCTGCTCCCCGTCCCGTGATATGGCCGTCCTTCACCATGCCTGCACAGATGCCTGTCCGTGTTTTCCTGCCTTCACTATGGCTGGGCGATTGTTGGGCGCGTCCGTCTTTGAATTTTGTCTATCCGACTTTCAGTGCGTCTGGGCACTTCGTCAGTGGGCTTATGCCCGTCTACTCTTTCGGTGTGTGTATCTGCATATTTATGTACATATTTATGGCATACATGTGTGCTTAAACATTTTATTGCTGCAGCTGCGGGTGTGTTTTGGGTGTGCCCTGGGTTGCAAATTTCGAAGAATCGACTATGGGATATGCTATTATTTGCTCCAAAAAGTTTGTTTATAATACATCTATTATGCGCAGCAAATTAGAATACTTTAGTTTAGATCCCAATTTGGGTTAAATGACTCCAGATATCTTCAAAAGTCGTATGTGTGTTGATCAGATCTGGATATAAACATTATCTCTACCATCATTTGAATGTTATATTTCTTTTAAAAAGCTCTATAGTCGCAATAGAAAGCCAATGAATTCGGAATACTTATCGTACACTATACATATGTATTAGGCTGCGTGATAATTTGTTAATCGAAAGAATGTAAGAAACAATGATGGATCCTTGGTCCCATTTTCTGGCTCTCAAGTAGTCACAGAAGCTCAAATATGATCGCTTTTAAGACTGTTTCCACTTCTGGAGCATTTCGAGCATTTTTTTTTATGGGGAAGTCCATATTTTCCTGATTTCTGATTCTGATTTCTGATGAGATAAATGTAAAATTGCGTTAAATATGTATAAAATTACTTTCAAAGCATTCTTATATGAAGATAAACAAATGACGAAAGAAATGTCATCTATTAGGACGCTTTTGATTCTAAAAGATATGTTCTTTATTCCCATGTTTCCATAATGGGGAACAGTCAGCGGTCAACACCCACCTATTTCTAATCACAATCAAAGTGGATGAGATAAAGTGAATTGTTCATTACAAACATTCTATGCGGTATTTATAATTAACAACGTACAACGCCTAAGACATGGGGCAAGCTGTGCCGTAGTTTTCAGTCGATTGTAAATGAAAAGCACAAACACTGCACAAATATGCGCGCTGGGCCTTAAGCCAAGCCATGGGGGCTGGACAAGGGCCAGAAAGTCACTCGATTAGTTGCGGTGCCAACGTCGACCGTCGACGTCCACGTCGACTTCATCATCGTAGTCATGATAAGCATTAAAAGACTCAAGATCTACGCCGTCATCGCCTTCCTCTTAGTCTGTGGCAGCCAAAAGTTTTGAATAATCCGCGCGTCGTGCTTCCAATACCCTGTAGCAAATGGAAAAGAGTTTCTGGAAAAATATGTAGAGTATCAGAAGCAAACTGTCAGCTGGAGTCCAACTCACTCCTGCTTCTGAATTCGCTAATCCTGTGAATGCATGACGGAATATATTACAGACACATTAGGTTTAATATTTGGTACAGGATGTGTCCCAGTCGGATACTCTCTACTACAAATATGGTTCGTAGTCCTGTCATGCTGTTGCTGCTGCTGCTTTGTTTCTCTTTTCAGAGTTGATTCTTAGCATCGGAGGTGGCATACGGAATGGGCACCAAAGCAGCGCCAAGTTGCATTGAAATGCAGAAAAAGGTGAATAAAAGACTCGCAAATGAATGCAATAACAACAATAACGACAGCACAAGCTTCAACAAGAGTTATAAAAATGTGCGTGGGACAGCCAAAGAGCCAGTTGGATGGCTGGATGGTTGGATGGCTGGATAGCCTTACCTTAACAAGAGTCCCATGCAGTTCGTTACGGACTCTGCTGCCTGGCGATGGTTAGGGACTCCAGCTGCCAAAGTCGACGAGGAAATTCAATCTAAACTTTATTGTTATAGCTGCTTCATTTCCCTGGTCATTGCAAACATGAAAATAATTGATTTAACTAATGCCGTCTTGTGGCTTTCAGGAGACATGCGAAGGCCGTGAAATGCTTCACGAGCCGATGCCAAGATACACTGTTATAAATAAGAATAAAAAGCTTTTTCTAGACTTAAATTACGTATGAAATGTTTGAAATTGTGCTCCTTCGGAATGTAAACAAAAAACAAAAAGTACCACAGATTTCAATCTTCCAATTGTACATATATATTCGTGTATATGAAAGCGAGGGTTTTGTGCCAGCTCGAACAATAAACACGTTTTACAAATTGTCGTCTGCGTCTGCGAGGGAAGGAAACTAAGCAGACGGGCAAACAACCGGTGTTACTGACGAGTACGAGAGCAAGCGACCTAGAGCAAGAGCCAGAGATTGGCAACGGTCACAGAGGCGGAATTGTGCTAAAAATCTATTTGCTGTCATGACTATGGGCTTGCCGAAGCGCTTCCTTGCCCAATTACTCTGATCAATAGCGTACAAAATCATTTTCACTTAAACCCAGCCAAAGCAGTTGAGCTGCTCTGTGGACTAGACTCGCGGAGGAGCAGGAGAGGACTGCCTGGCGCCGATGATGACGATGGCGTTTGTTGCCGTACAGCAGACCAGCAGAACAGCGACAATGACGACCATAACATTGTGGGCGTCCGACATTAAGATTTTCGTTGTGTTGAGCTCGTGTTGTTATTATTCTTCTCTGGCTGGTGACTGTGCTCAAAATTTCAAATTTCTGTTTCATTTGAGCAACGTCGGTGAGGCCTCAGAGTGGGTTTTCCATCAGCGATTCATTTGCAGCAAAGAAAACGTTTTTCGTTGCATGCAGTAAAACAAAAGACTTAGGCAACAAACTTGAACAAGCATTCTGAATATAATATTAATCTCGAAACAAGAAAGAAGGAGTTATTCACTTTGAATAGTTTTTAAATACGGTATTCAGCGTTTAATATGACAGCACATCATTAGGACTTTGGGCCTTCCTGACTTCACATTTGAATGCTTAAGTGCTACATAAATCATTATCGACCGACTGAGTGGAGCCCCCTTCGACACTCGCAAGTCTTAAATAAGCACTCTTAAAAGGAAAAAATGCCGCAATAGCGACTCAATGTGTTATTGTTGGCTATTGGCAACGGCGGGCAGCGGTGAGCCGCGGCGGTTGCCTTGTGGCCCGTACCACATAGATTGCGTTTACCTGGTCTTGGACTTGTACTATCGACGCTGTTGGCGTTGCCAAATGGAAAAATATTTGCAAAACTCGAAACACGCACGGGTTTCCACATCAAATGATTGCTATATAAATAAGTTTTTAAGCTTCGTACATAAATTTTAAAATACCGCACAGCTGTCAGCCTCAGTACTGCGGCGAGCTAAGTAGGTCAGACAAGGTCGTTTTCGAGTTGTTTTTGCCTACCCTAACTCGATGCATTAAGATACATGCATCATAGTAAATGCTCATATCAATATAAGATCAATTGAGTTCGTGCTTAAGCCGTTTTCTTCAGCTGTTCACTAGTAACTCTGTTATGTTATGAGTATGCACATCTGACAAAAGAGTGTGTCATTCGTGTGCCACAGCTATTTGCCTTCTTATACTTTGGTCTGTTCGCTCGTTCGAAAACAAAGCTATTACACATTACTCAACTTATCTCCTGGACTTTGAGAGAGAGAGAGAGAGAGAGAGAGAGAGGTTTTTTATTTAATGAATTAATTACTCCCCAGTATTAGGCTTCAGAATTGCGATGCAGTTTTAAGGAGTGGTGTGGGCACGGCCTCGCCTCAGAAGGAAATCATTAATGGTAGACTACTAAATTTCGTGACTCAAGCTCTACACTGTGTACAATATTGAATTTCGATGTTGCATACGCATTATTAGCTCTATCGCCAGCGTCGGCTGCTGTATTAGATAATTTAAGTTAAGTATAAAGAGCATACCTTTAATGTGTGCGAAAGATGTCAAATATGTTGAGGATTGAGACAGGTCAGCTCGATTATATAACGTGCATAATATATATGTAAATTGTGGATTTCATTTGAATAGTCAAGTGGCTCAGATGCCTTGGTAATTCACTTTTCATTACTTATTTATTAAATTTATTCGATCTTAGGTTCGCCTGGGAACACGGTATATTTTTATTTGACTCGTTTATTTAAAATGAAGCATATTTACAAAATAGTGTACATGGGCATCATGAAGGCATCATGTTGCATTTGTAGCGATTAGTTAACGCGGTTGAGTATAGGCAGCCGTAACACGTTTCTCGGTTCAATAAACCCGAATCGACCTTGTTCGTAGATCAAGCAAACTGGATGGCTTTAGAGTCCATCAGATTGGTTCCACATTAACAAGGAAATATTTTGAAACTTGTGTATTTGGTTGCTAAGCATGAACATTCTGTAGCAATATTGTGTATAATGTGAAGACCCAGTTTAGATACACTTTCATTCACTGTTCCACACTGAGACACATTTATTAATCAATTCAAACTGCAAGACTAAGTTATACCGATGGACCCAAGCAGGTTTGCTTCACACAAAATGGACTACGATCTGATTGTTGTTTTCCGCATCGTTGTTGAAATGGTACTGAAGGTAAAGCGAGCATATACACCGAGCTGGAGCTGGGGCTGGGGCTGGGGCTAGAGCTGGAGCTGGAGCTGGAACTGAAACTGAGGTGCAGCTGTTACCGATAGAGCCTCAGTTGAGTCGAGTGGCCCCATAGCCACACACAGACATAGAAAGCCGGTTTTGGTACACTAGTATTTGTGAGAGCAGACGGCATTGCGCTCTTCTTCTTGCGGCTGCCGGCGCTCTTCTCCGATGGCATAATTTCCAGCCAGTTCTATTCTCTTCTCTTTACTTGAGCAACCAAAAAAGGTTCAGCTACAGTTTATAGCAGCCAATAATAAACAAAAATTGTTATGTACTGCAACATTGTCGACTTCAATAATAATATTGTTGGTTTGTGTGGGTTTCTATATATGTATTCATGCACGTTAAATAAACACAGGCGCAATTAAGAAAAAAAGAAGCTACTTCTATGAGTGCTATGTACAAAGTATCCGATGTCCCATATACAAATTCAAGCTTCCTTTTAAACAACCAGTCACCAAGTATATGCATGAAAGCCTGAGCCTGAGCCTGGGATTGAGAAATTGAGCAGCATCTGTCACAGCTTCGGTGTATATTTCAACATTCTTCCCTGTATATTCTTATATATGTATGTACAGCTATGTAAAATACTTCACAGATTTAAGGATGCACGGATAATTGCACAAATGATGGCCATTCTACACAATTTTAGAGTATGCGAATCCGATTAAGACAATTAGATATAATTTAAAAAGAAACTCGATGATTGTTAAATATTAAATATAAGTAGGTATTAACTAAATTAGTAAATATTTAAAATGAATTCCAACATTTTCAAAGTTTCTCATTCTATTCTCTTGGATGATTATCTAAGATTGATTGATTATCAATTTTGTTTTACCAGGATATGTTTTTTTATTTCGCCTAGAATAATATCGAGTATTATGAATGCGGTTTTAAAGTTGGACACTTGAGTTGAGTACATCAGGCTAATTGGAAAACATGGTATTTCATGTCTCACAGTTCTTTGGCTTATACGTTAAATTATCGAATAACATTTCAAAGTCTGTATTATTATTGAATTGAGGATCTCTAAGTTCTAAGGTCGTTGTAAATCCCCAAATAAAGACAAATAGTCGGTTGTCCTACATTGCAAAGGTGTGAAAAACTCGCTTTACTCATTGAAAAGTCGAATTTATATATTAGTATATTATTATATTCCATTGGGTATGGTTTATATGAATCAACATAGAAGATATTTTTAGCTATTAGTAATGCAAATACTGTCATCGCCGATAAAAGCCGAAAATCGTTTTATAGCCAATTTCTTTGTGTTTCTGATATGAATCTAATTGGTCTGGTTGTCTGACCTGACCTTGACAACACTTCGTGTGGTCATTGCATGGCGACATTTGGAGACATATTATTGTTAATCGATTTGCTATGAGCAGATCTATACAAGCTGATTCAATGGATTATAATAGTTTAATCGTAAGACACAATATAATAATAAAATTCATTGAGTTGCTTTAATTTCCATTTCCCAATATACAAAGCTGCTTTATGCCGCTCAATTAAAGTATACTCTGATTGAGGATTTCCCCTAAAGTGTTTCACACAAGCATGCAATATATTTTAAAACTTTGTATACTTTCAGTATGTGCACAAATATTAACATGGTTATAGCTGCGGTTTTCCGCTGCAAACTTTTTATATCCGGAAATGGGTCTGCATCGGGAACTGAGAGCGGCGGGTATTGCGGCGTTGTTTGAATATATATATTTAATAGAGAAAATGGAGCTCAATCGACTTTACAAAGTATATACATATATAACTGAGCAGGATAACCAGCTATGTCCTTGAATTATATTTCAAAATATAATTTAAAGACTAGAGTCAACAAAATTGGTATGTAAAATAAATTAAACATACATCCGTAATGAATATACAGATGATAAATAATACCCATTTTGTATACCACCCAAAAAAACTAAAGTGAACTCAGATCACATAGTTGAGTTTGGTAACTAAATGCATAATTTGTCATGTTCTTTGTTATATTAATGACCGAAATTTCCTTTAATGAGGTTTGGGGTGAATATGCACATAGGGTTCGATTGGGTGCGTACCCACATATATACATACATGTATATATGGATATGTGTATATTCCCAAAAAATTGATTAGAAGTTGTCCGTGGATGTCAGGTATTTCACAGTCGGACACTCCCCATTGTTCCTTGTTAAACATTCTCGATTTAATATGTTCAGCATGCAAAACACAGTCTAGTGGCTAAATCACGCGATGCTCTGCTTGGTAGGTCTTTTTTATAATAGAGAATTTTGACACCCTTGCATAATATGGGAATATTCAAATATCTGCACTGACGTAATTCTTGAGTAGGAGAAAGCAACTGTGCATAGACACCAGAAGTTAAACTCAGAGTTCACTTTATCTAAATAAATTACACGCAAACGAATGGTTTATTTGGATTTAGGTTATTTGCATCGACTTTTGGAGGTTCCCACACATACACATATACAAGCACACACACGTTCACTCACATCTATTGAAAAATTGAGTACGCGGTGCTCGGTAGTTTATGCATTTCAATTTATTGCCTATCTCTGCGTTGACGGAGATAAAAGGCCAACACTCTCAAGAAATCTAAGAGACGCGGTAAATTTATATATCTTGCTTGCGCCTAATTTAAAATACTTGGGCTATTTTGAGTGTAATCGATGAATCTCGAACGTACTTATATACCGTAAATGAAATGGAGAAAAAAGAAAATAGAATTAGGCGTAGACTAGACGAGATTAACTAGGGCGTACTCTGCAGTGCAGGTGCATAGTCACAATTATTCACTGCTCAGATCATTGCTTCTTTTAATTCAAATATTTAAGAGCTGCAAAGCAAAGAACAGGGTCGACGTATCCCATGAATGAAACATGAGAGTTAACAATATACTCCCTTATAAATACACAAAAAAAAGGAACATAAATAGGCTTTCACAGTTGATATTGTTTAATTTGTATATTTCAAATGTCGATTTCAAAGGATACTAAAAACGGGGATGTGCACCAAACTTGATTTGTGTATGCAATATTTCGACCAATATATATAATTTCCAACTCTTATCGATACAGACATTTACGTGTTCTTACTTACAAACAGACGGACGGGCGGACGGGCGGATAATCAGACATGCAGACAGCTGCTAATCCAGGCTAGGAATATGTACACTGAATGTGAATGTTTCTTCCTGAATATTAAATACATTTTAACTACAGTAATGTACTCGAAATCATGTTCACTGATTTCGGAATATACCAATATTTAAGTATATCTTTGAAAGACAAGTTACTTTTAATTTATTGACAATAGCTCAGTAATTATTATTATTATTTTATCACTTATTATATCAATCACTAGAGAATTTAGTGAATTAAATATATTGCAAAGATTCGCGTAATCTTTTTTGTATTAGGTTCACGTTTATTTTGGAGACAACTATCTGTAAATTTACGCTTACACAAAATTTCTCTCTCGAATTACGGATGGGTTGATACCATTTTATTATAACGTAGCGACTCTAATAAATAAAAAACTTTTCAAACACCCGAACGAAGCGCAATTTGACATAGCCTCTTGACCACGTCTAAATGACTGCGGTTTTGATTTGCGATTCAACCTGGGCACGAGAAGCTCGAGCCAGTTCGGTATATTCAATATTTGTGCTCTTGGAATAAGCACGAAACGTGCCTGCGTCAACCGACCCACTGGACACACTGGAACACTTGGAAGGGCCAGTGGCCATGGCTTTCGTAGTTGGTTGAAATTCAAATGAATTGCTTGTTTATGAATAATTGTCGTCCTTAAGGCAGGAACCGCTCATTCTTGGAATAAGTAACTTTTACTCATATTTATGTGACATTGAATATCATCATCAAACCAATTCGTAATAAGTTTTTACGAGCGCTAGGGCAAATACCAAAAAATATTTAAGAAACACCCTAACGCGATTTGCATGCCAGTTCTTGTAATGACCTCTCTGGTACTTGCCGTAAAGTCTACAGCCATGGTTACCAATAGTGGTCATAACAAGCGACTGGACTTTCCATTAATTCGTAGATATTCATGAGTTCGGACGCAAAGGCCGAGAGTAAAGCAAAGGTCTACTTAGAAACCTTGTGGGGACGTCGAAGAGTTGTGGTTTATATTCCACACATTTATTGTGTCCAGCTAAAGCAATGTAGGAATGTTACAATCGGGCATGATCAGCTGCGTACTACTTGCCCAAGGATATTATATATTTTCCTAGACAAATAAAAATTTACTATTAGCACATTGCATAGCCTCGATATTCTGGCTCGAAATTTGGCTTTTCACGTTGCAAGATATACATAAATGTATAATTTTTGTAAATCAGTAGAGAAGATCAACAAGTACAGCAATCTTTCTAAGCGGATGCACAGTAAAAATGACATGCACAAAACTATTATAATATACCTTCTTAGTTTTCTGAGCGAGTAGATAAGTGAGAAACTATGCATGGATACACATACACACATGCACATATGTACTTTAGCAGTTTTAGTCACAAGCTACCTTGGCGAAGTGTTTGGGTTTCCGGGGTTTCGCCGTGCGCTATATATGTTCAGTAAGGGTTGACTTGTTGAGGTTTCATTTGCATGCCCAAGCTACTTTGACCGAGGGATGGAAAGAGAGAGAGAGAGAGAGAAGTAGAGAGAGTATGCGGGAATGCTTAATTATTACTTGTTTGCTTCAACTTTATTTGTTTGACCGCCAGTTTGGACAAAAATTCTAATTTGATGACATACATAAGTACTTTCGCTTTGATTTGCGTGCGGTAAATTAATTAAAGCACTTGGCCATAATTTTAAACACAATTGTGGAATGAAATTGGGTCACAAACATTTCGGGACTCAAATGAACTCTAGTGAATTTTTATTAAGTTATTCGTTATCCTTTACCCTTTTACTTTCAAAATGACTTTCACTATGACTAATGCACTTCGAAATGAATTTGTTTTTCTGATGCTTTGAGTCATTATATTCACATTATATTCATATAAATTCCATAACTTTTTTCGCTTATACAAATTGAGTTTGATTTGAATATTTCATATTTTAGTTTTATAAATAAAATATTAAATAGAATAATTTCAAAGCTACAAATTTATTTTAAATTTGAGATACAGTAGAATCCGGTTAAGCCAACTCCACTTATAGCGTTTGTACGGTTATAGCGACGAAAATTCTGGTCCCCACACAAACTTTTATGAGCAAACCTATACTCTTATAGCGTTTTCCGTGTATAACGACGGTCGTTATAACCGGATTCTACTGTATGTGGTAAATAATAATTTGCAGTTTCCGGGTGTTCTATAGGAATGCAGACATCGCTATCTATCCTATATAAATTAAACTACCTATAAATTAAACTACCATATATAACATAAATCACGTACATGTCCTACATATTTTATTGGGTCAGACGAATTATGTTAAAGGAGTATTTGTGTTGATAAGTATTGAATATATAGGCCACAAGAGATTGCAATTTGAAGTGTTGGTTTTATTTAGAATATTAATAACATATTCAACCTTCCTTGCGTTTTCCCAAATCAATTTACATTCGTTTAATAGACCTAATGACTGTATTGGTTTTATCTAATGTCCCATGCTATCAAACAACATAAAATCAATACGGCAATTGCCACGCGAGACGTGACAGCATAATATTAAATAGCTAAAGCCTTTGCAAGACCTCAATCTGTAAATTATCCAAAAAAGTTTGAGCATTGTCATAGATCTCAGACATATTTATACATACATAGATTTTAAAGCAATTTGAACTAAACTTATCAGTTAAGTCTCGTAGTATACACTTAATACATTAGGAATTTCCGATTATGAGTTTCTTCAATGATTTTGAATGTAAATTGAATGGTTTTAGAATTTTTGTCGAGCGTATTACTATTACGTGTTTTATGTATGTATATTTAGACTAATTGAATTGTAGTTTATAGAACTATCTTCGATGTGCACACGGTGAAGGTATTTGCTTACAATTTATACGAGCTTCTACTGCACATTGATGAAATGTTTGGATTCGCTTCTGGCTAGGAGGGGAACTGGTAACTTGTGACAGTCTCCTTCTGAATCGGCCTGCATATAAGGGCACAATTATCCACGAAAGGACGCGTTATTTCGTAAGAATCTTCGCACTTGGGGCCCGGGGAGAAGTTGAAATTGAAGTTCGTGAATGGCTTCATTGTGTTCTGAATGTTTCAACTTTCCCAACTGGTTTTGTTTACAATTCCTTCGGGTAATTTTCACTTGGGTGGATTTTACAAGTAGCTTAAATCAACATCCGTTGCTGACCGACTGAGGCTGAATGCCAAACGCAACAAAATTGAATTATGCATCTGCGACGTTGCCCAGGTAAAGTTTAGGCCCGACTCAAAGTTTGCAGCGTTTGCTGTGAGTCTCACGTGCTGACTGTCAAAGCAAATAAAAATAACAAAATGGCTTCACCTGGCACCTGTATCCTGGCAACATTCATTTAAACACCTTGGACGGAGCGTTCAGTTGGAGTTGTTGTTGCTGGCAGCGCACGTTGAGCTCTGCCGAATTTGACGGCGCCACGGCTGGTCCGCCCATTGCCAACACGCTCGGAGCTTCTTAATTTCCATTTGCATTCTTGCACTCTGCACTAGACAAGCTCGCTCTCACTCGCTGGCAAGGCTTAAGCAAGCATGCACTACAAATCGGGTGAAATATTTAATGATCCCGTTTGTTTATTGAATTGCAGTCAAAAGTTTTGGCACGGACGGAAGCCCTGCCCAGCCCCGGCCCCAATCAGCCTTTTGGCCGCAAAGCTTATACGCAGTGCGAGAGTGAGTGTGAAGATGGCGCAATTGCTGCAGTCGCTTACGCCAACAACAACAACAACAACGGCAACGGCAACGGCAGCAGTAAAGTCAACAGCATATCCAAAGGTAAAGGCGGCAAACCAGCTATAACGGGAATATTGCTACGCCGATGCCGACGCCGACGTCTATGCCGACGCTGACGCCAACAGCGATGCCGACGTCGACGACCGAAAAGTGAAATAGCTTCTGTCAATATTCTGTCAATGGGCATATTTTTGCCATGCCAAGTGGGCCGATGGGTGAGAACGGACGGATTTCTTTGTAGAAAGTATTTTCGTGAACCGATTTCTGTTGCTGGGTTTTTATTTCGGATACTATTTAATCGATCTATGCGCAGCTGAAATGGAATCTATTTTCCCTATCAAGTCAAATTTTAAAATATTTAACTAGCAATCCGCACATCTTAAATCAATAGAGTCCTAAACATAAATGAATCAAATGAGGATGAATATAAATATGTAGTATACATTATGACAAGCAGTTATTTATTATTTTGAGAACTTTATTTTGAGAACTTTCAAAATATAAATTACATGCAAAATAAAATAAAAACAAGCAGAAACTTCTAACTGTATTATACCCTAACGGAACTGCATAATTGGATAGTCCATATGACCCTATGTCTGAGAGTTCCAATCAATTTTGATTTTTTGGATTTATAATATAATATAATAATAATTAAAATTCATCTACAGATATTCTGTGGTCTTTCAATTGAGAAGAAGTATTATGTAGTCGATCATTTCTCATTGTAACGTTCCTACTTGCTTCCTTGTAGCATGCCAACGCGGCTTGGAGTACAGGGAATGCAGGGTTTGGGAAAGTCTCATTCGTTGGAGCAGTCTTACATGTTCTGATATGCACAGGTATATGTCTAAGAATCTTATCCGCACTTCTTTTTGCATTTGAGTCAAGCTGTAAAAAATGCGCACAAAATGCAAATGAAATATGCTCTAGCATTAAGAGCGAAATTACAAATTTAAAGGAGTGCAGCGAGCATCCACTGTTGACCATTTCCTGGCGCTTAAACCAGTTTTCTTTGACGGCGGTAACAATTAGCGGCTATTTAAATCGCCGCACATGAGCCACTATTAATTACGGCAAGCAACATAGCTTCACTATTGAACTATGTGCTTGAATGTACCCTGTATTCGGCTAAACATACTTCCTTGCTCTAGTAATAATTTTTTTTGATACCAAACGATGCATCCTAGCAATAAAGAATATATACACATGTCATAAGATATTTGTCTGATATATTGTTAAAGTTGTTAATATCATCACGTGAAGTTATTAACACCAAATGATGCTTTATTTGAGAAATAACTTGTAGAAGACAATGTCACATAAATGTATAGACCCCTATATACCCTTTTTCATCGATTTGCAGTGGGTATGGCAATGAAGCGACTTGCGTCGAATCGAAGAAAAGTTGTTTATTGCAACTATTTGGAGTAGAAGCTTAGTGCGCCGTTAAACGGAAATACAAAGATCTTTGAAGTAATTCTGACTTCAAAATAGAACTCTGAGATCTGTGATAATAAAATAAGTTTATTACATACGCTCACAATAAAATAAATAGTAAGTAACAGGTAAAGAGAGGCTTACCTAAAATCACTTATTTTTAAATTCTTAACCTAGTCAATAAGCTGAAGCATTATATTCCTCTTCGTATAAACTAGTGCTGCTATAGAAAATAAACGAGTCATCGAATGTCGACCTACGTATTTATATATGTGAATATAATTTGTCAGTCTCTGAAACTACTCTCACTGTTTTGTTTTTCTTCAGTTCAGGAAGTGTCTATATTGGTGTTGTGTAATGTCCGCTTTACTGTCCAACTGTTTGAGTGAACAGATTAGCAATTTCGAAAAATTACTCGCCTTTATGTTAGCTCTTAGACAAATGCTCTATGCTTGTAGTCTCCAGAGCTGATACCAATATACATATACTTTCACATACATATATCTAGTTAGTTTTAGACTTTGAGTATTTTGTAGTCAGCTCCGCATGTTTCATTTAAAGTGGCCTTGTCGAATAAAGAATTTGCACACTAATTTTTCCCATGAACGAATTTCGCTTGTGGAGAATGTATGCGAAGGCTATACAACCTCTAAATGTCGAACGATGTCAGCGATAAATTTATCTTTTAGGTAGCAGTTAGGGCCATAAATACGTCAATACTTACTTCTAAAAAACAATGACCGAAAACACGTATTTGTTTTCATTTGGCTTTGAATATCCATTTCTTTTGTTGACCATTTAGTAGCGAATCAAAAACGTTTGAGAATCTCAGATAAATACAAATGTTTTCTGAATAGTAAAATTTTATCCAAGGTCTTTAATGAGTAATCAAGATAATAGATTGTAATCGCATTAAAACATTCATCTTTCACTTGTTTAAGTTGTCTTAGTGATCATATAATTTAAAATGCAAATTTATTTATTATAATGCTTCAATGTGTTCGGAGCAGATAAAATCTCTGAAAGATTTGTATTTATAAATATCTTCCGACAAAATTTTACAAGTTAAAAGTCCTTTTTATTTATTAACAGTGGTATGTCATATTAACGCTTTTAACATATGAAATATATGAACATAAAAATTGCCTTAAATATTTTTTATAAATCATTCTACAAATTAAGACACAAATTAATTTTCGATAATAGCCAATACCTCATTATTTTAATAATTTAGGGAGTTTAAGCTTGTTTCATAAGACAAATAATAAATTTAAGAATAAGAATTAATAATTGGTTCTGTACCCTGATATGGTATTGTTACCTCTCAATGCTAATGGCCGACTCGGCCTAGTGTTACATTCAATTAATGTTTTTTAAATCATGGTTTGATAACATTTTTAAGCTAGCGTAATTGGCCTTAAAGACCTGAAAAGCAATTAAATCGAATCGTAAGTTGTAATTTTTTCAAATTGCACAACAAATAATATAAGTCAACTATTTTTGCTCGATACATTTCTAAAATATTTCAGACCTTCCGTCTTAATATTATGGCGCTTGCCTTTGTCTAATATTATGCAACTTACTAATCACGTACATCTATTTACATACACCACGTCCGGTCATATATACATTTGTTAAAAAACCAGCGTGTTATCCAAGCGTTTTTGTTTGACAAATTTCTAGCTTCCGCATCAATATCAAATGTTTGAATGTCATTCTAAAAAAAAAAAAAAAAAAATAAAAAATAACATATTACTATATTAAGTCAAAACTGTTATTATATTATGGGGATGAATTTACTATTGGCTTGGGAAAAATACGCTTCATGTCAACTCGATGCAAGTGTTCATCATGCGCTCGCTGAAGCCATTCATACTCTGTTCCACTTATACAGGGTAGACATAGGTTGCATTCTTCTTTATTGCATGATTTATCGCAGTCATTATATGCACATTTGTTTAAGCCAGTCGCTAAATTTTTATCGGCCGCTATAATTTCAGAGACCCTAGAAGGAACCAAATTTTATAATAAAATTATACCTTAACATCTCTGATACATACGCATTTCGATTATCTCCTATTTGGTTCACTGGACGAATTCCCACCAGATTGAATACGCTATAAAGCACTTGTTCGTACAATAGTGTGTTTTGCTTGAAGTGGGCAGAGGAAAGGTTTGGTGACATATTGGCTTCCATGAGGTATACTTTAAGGTTCTCGTCAATGAATAGATCAAAACGCAACAAATCGAAAAAATTGTGCCTCTTATATCTACGAAGTGAATCAATTAAATCTTCTTCTTTACTTAAAATAGTTGTACGAATGATGTTTTCGACTTGTGGCCATATTTTGGATGGGTCCATTGCTTGGTCACGCACATACGCTTCAAAAGAGGCACGCATACTGCCACCGTAGCTATTATAATATTTGCGTAATGACGGAACTTCCCAGGTAGGTAAATAGTTGTCCCCTACAACGTATTTGTCCTCGATTTCAGCATCGAATGGGTAGTATTTTTCGGGACAGTAACGGAACAGAACATCGCCGTGGTATATGTAAACTCGTAATGGGTTTACAGATGTAATCACAACATAGACACCGATATCAAATTTATGACCGTCGACTAAAAATGGTTTCTCAATGAACTCCTGGACAAACGAATCATTCGAGTTCAAGTCGATGTCACTAATTGACCGAACTTTAATGTGACGATGCTCGTTGTGCTTCTGGACAAACAGTGCCTCCGGATGCGCCGATGCGTACTCCAAAAATGCGTCCCTCTGGCTTGGGAGGCGAAACGCACGTGGCAAAAAAGGTAATTTCGTAGTACATAAGTCAACTTTATTTGTTAGGTAACCACAGCCAGGTAAATGATTGACGAATTGATGCGCCTCAAGATTCTTCAGATGCGGAAATACGCGAAACGGATAGTCATGAGCCCACAGCAAGTCCCAATTCTCGTTTAACTCAACTCTCTTATAACCGAAACGGTTCAAGATATCAACTACGTGAACTAAGTGCTCTTCCGTGGGACTAGTGCTATAAATTGAGTAGAAGCGCTCATAAGGCGACTTATGCGTTGTGAAATTGAATGAATTTCTTTCGCTTATTATTTTGGCGTAGTGCGGTAATAGCTCAATAAGAACTCCAGTGCCTACTGTTGCCGCCAAGAAAAGCATAACGGTTCCCAATGGTATCGTTTTTAGCGATAATAATTTAGTGCAGTTGCCTGATAACTAAAAAAGTGAAAGTTTGAAGAAAAATGCAACTAAATTAAGTTTTTTCTGGGTAATTTTACATAGAGTATACTTTAGTTTCATTGTCCAATTTTTCCGGAGCTTCCGATTCTGAGTTTGACTTCATCGCACTAAAAGCAAAATAAATTAAAACCGAAACAAAATTTAAACAAAACGCCCAAGTCACAATTTGTAGAAACGAAAGATTAAGAGAAGCAAGCATTCACGAAATTATCGATATGTGTTCAAATCAGCTGTTGCTACTCTTATATTCATTGAATGGGGAAGAGTAATCGATATGTATCGGTAGTTATGAATTCGAGAGTTAGTACGCCATCTAGAGGAGTCGCGATGAACTACACCACAAAAAACGTAATTAAATGAATTTGAATTACAGTCGTTATGCATGAAATCAGAGGAAAGCTACATTCACTTAAGTATTTTAATGGGAGGTATTCCCATAGCATGCCTTTAAAATAAAATTTGTCGTACTTACAAATGTTTATTTCTTAATATTATTTGTTTGTGGTTTGTTAATTAAAGGTAGTGAGATGGTGCTGAAGCGTAACCGAAATGCAGATGATCTTCAAAAGAGGCTATTTCTGAAATATAAATTAAATAAGGTGGTACGTGAAGTCATTATGAACAGTCAATGGCTTGATGAAAATCAAGATGATCATAAAATGTCGTCAAATGTTAAAAAAAATATTGCTCTTATGATGCGCACGAAGCGAAAATTTGGAGTACTTACATTAAGTGTAAGTAAATGTATATTGACATATACAAGGTCTGTTCAAATCAAATCGGATGATCGAACTCTTTGATCCGTGTCTTTATCGATTTCGGAGCATTACATTATCAATGGTAATTCAATTGAAAAGGTCGCGATATGATTTGAAGAGACCGCGTACATATATCAATTTTAATGTGACAGTATGGGCTTCTATTCTTAGGATGATATCAGAAAGTTATAGTCGCAACTTACAACTCTATATTCACAGATTCAACTGAATATAAGAAATTAAGTTATAATTACAGTTTCATATAAAACAATAATGAACGGGTGTAATCACCTAATTATGGAACTGAAATGAAATGATGTCATATTGACAAGTTTTGAGTTTCAATTCTTTTCGATTACCTTATATTCCTCAAAACTTTAACTTTTAGAAATAATATGTATTTAACAAGTACAGTACATTCTAATCCATAGAATTCATGATTGTCTTAAGCGAAAAACTTTTTTATGTTTATGTAGACATTTTAACGGATTGAATGTCCACCAGGGTGGATGATACGACCCAGATAATTTATACTGTACAATAAATAGATTGCAGTTAGACGCGCGTATATATTCCCAAACTAAATGGCTAATCAATCTCTTTTTTATCAGGAAAAATCTTTAATACGAACTCCACATCATTTAAGAACAGTATCTGATCGAAAGAAACTATGTATTCTGTTTGCTGGATTCAGATGTTTCCTCAGTGTTCCAGCCGTATGTACTTCTTGTTGTCAAAAAATCATGTGTTATTAAATATTTGTATTCATTATAGAAACAGCGTGTCCGTGTAATTCCTGTCGTTCAATTCTTGTCAGTTAGTCCCGGTCGCATTATTATAAGAAAGGGAGACAAGCCGTTTTTAATCTATTTTATTGTAGCGGGAGAAATTGGCATGCCTAAAAGAAATATTTCCGAGGTAAATTTAAATTAAAATTCCAAGTTCAATCACCGAATTTCAAATTTTAAGATTGAAGACCAATTCATGTTTGGACCTGGTGATTGCATTGGCGATATAGGAATGTTTGAGGACGGCCCACGCTTTCAAACTTGCATTGCTGCATGTAAGTACCTACCACTTAAATGAATTGTGTATCGCACTCAATCGCCATTCAGCTTATTAGTACTGCCATCATTATCTACATCAATGTCAACAAAACCGTACAAAAGGTATTCATGTGTTATTGCGAGTAGAGCAAATTAATGTGTTTAACCACTAACCATAGAACACATATGGTTAGTGGTTCAGCCTTACCATTGAAAATGGGGAATCAGGGCATAATGTTTTTCTGAAACTGTAATAGGCAGAAGGAGGTGTGGTAGACCCCGTTTTTGCGTCCATCCATCCGTATGAACGCCGAGATCTCAGAAAATATAAGAACAGCAGATTTGAAATTTTACATGCATACTCGTCTATTCAATATGCAGTACAAGTTTTCCTCGATAACTCGTGCCGTTTCCGTTTTATCGACAATAATCGATAATAAATTTTATAAAAGCGTAATTTGAATACTATTAGGCCTACTGTGTTTATACAGTTGTCGAATACAAAGATTTTGTAATTTTTTACTTTTGCTTTGGTAAGTACATACACACCTCTACACAAAGTTATAATCACGTTCTGCAGGCCTCATATTATTCCACTACAAGAGAATTCATTCAACACATAAGTTCTCAGAGCGGGTGCTTATGCGTGCGTAACTCATCCCTATATCTGTTTACCCCAAAGCTAGATAATTGACATTTGAAAAAAATACTCACGAGCCTATAAGTGGGACTCTTAAGACTCTTGTTTAGTATACGCTCAAATCATAAAAAATTTTTTTAATAATAATCTGCTTTGAGATGTGTGTACATACATATATCGCAATGCATCTAAATTATTCATAAACTTTACCACATATCTATGTATACATGTACATACTTATACATACATATGTCTAAGTCATAAGTATATATTTATATATATGTATATATATTGGTACATTTAGAGCTCAACACGCGATATCATAAGTACGTTTGTACATGACAAAATTGCTGTTGCTTCGTGACCAAAAGCAAAGGCTTGCACCAGCCAATTTAATCAGCAATAAACAAAGTTAAGTCCTAATTCGATTCAATCAAATTGAATAGCAAAACATAGCCGTTCCCCCATCCAGCCCATCATACCTCCGTTTTTTGCTAAGGAGGCATTTCAAGCATTGCCTGCTATGTATTGCGAAAATATAGGTTGGCAGCAACAACAGCAGACGCTGAGGACCTCAAACCGATTCCCAATTTAGCTTTCACTTCGTAACGTGGTGTTTATTATTTTTATTTGCTTGTTTTTGACTTTTTTTCGTTTTTTCTTTTCGGTCTATCGCATTGGAATCTTCAAACGAATTGATGAACTCCAATTTGTATTCCGTTCTCATTTTGAATTTGCTGTTCTTACCTTTTAAACGTGGTGGCTACTTAGCGCAATGCGAGCTCCTGGTACTACTCGACAAAGATTTTAATTCGATCCTCAAGCCCTACATGCAGAAGGTTTGGAACGATAAGAAACGAGCCTTGAAGGCTTTGGACTATTTCGATTTTTTCAGCGATGATCAGGTAAGCGAACTGAATTTCAGTCATTAATAATAGTCAGAATCGGCGTCAAACCGAATTGTATTACAGATTCTAAAAGCATGCAAGCTGTGTACGCTTAAGCAATATAATCCCTTAGATACAATTTACAGCCATGATAGAGGAACACTCACAAATGTTCACTTTGTTTTGAGTGGAGAATGTTTAATACTCCAGTGTCTTAATATGAAGGTATTTAGATAGACAATCCGTAGCCAGACAAATTTTATAAACATTTAACATATTTATTAATAAAGGTTGTCGTAAATAATGGGAAAAAAATGTACCACCTCGTGGACACTTCGGATGGCGGATCTATATATCTTCATAGTGAGCAAAGCATCAGAAGCCGTCTTGTCAAAAATTCGTCCATGTTTGATGCTCTTGATGCGGTCCATAAAAACGAAAATAAATCGGTAAGTTATCTAAATGGAAATTAAAAAAACAAAATTATAAAATATAAGATACAATGATCTCAAAAGTGACAACAGTTCCATAAATATGTTGGACTCATTCTCAAAATGACTTCAGTTTGTCTGTCCATATGAGCCCCATTAAAAGTTCGATTTTCGCGGAATGTTCGGAATGACTCATTCCATTTATGCTAAAGTTGTACTTTCGAGAAAGCACACAAACAATACTAAATCCACAAAACATTTAATTTAAAATTTTTGAATACAATATATGAACGCACACATAACTACGACTATCATCACTCATTGAAAGTTATAATATTTGTTATTATATTATGTATCCGTTTAGAAACAGACAATAACCTCATTGGCTGCTTTGCCGACGAATTATATCCAAAGCAGCTAAAATTAAATATATTAATTATACTCATTCACGAAAGTGAATTATTATACTCATTCACGAAAGTGAATTAATATATTGGTTTTGCGCAATGTCCGTCTTGTCCATCTGTCGGTATGAACGCTATTTTTTCGGCGCAATTGAAGCTAGAGACTTAAAATTTGGGACACATACTTGGGTATATCTCCGCTTGATAAATTGCTATAATTTTCGGAATCGGAAAATGCATTTTCTGATATACCAGAAATCATATCAGTTGAAGAGCTAGAATGCTGAAATTTGGAATGTAGATCTGCGTCGACCACCCAAGATCACGAGCTATGGCGGATATATCTACGCCCATTGAGGGTCAGCCCACAATGGGCGTGGCAAACCGCAAAAGTTTATATCTCCTTCTATATCGATGGACCAAAAATAATTTTGACTCCTCTTTAGGGGGCGTGGCATATCGAAAAATTCCCTGTAATTTGCACATTTTTTGAGCGTAAGCATTCAACTTTTGTAGTTCGGGTACCGTTAGCTTGTTCTAAGAACTGACCAAAAATGAGACCAAAAATGTCTACGCCCAATAGGGGCGTGGCGAATCGGGAAAAATTAATAAATTTTCTACAGTATTAGGGCTAAACTTAGCTACTAAATTGCTGATGGGATATGAATGAGTATTCCCGAGTATCGCCCGACTGCAACGTTCTTACTTGTTTTATTATTGCCTTTATTTTCAAATGCATTTTTTATATGATTGTGCAGCCCGGACAACTTAATACTCTGACGAGTGATTCTGACAATGGAAGCTCAATATCAACGGTAAATTTAATTAAACACTATACTAGTCCAAGTAGCATTAAATATTCCGAATATTATGTGGAGGAAATGACATATGTTGATGAAGCCTACTCAAGCTCTGGAGAATTATTCAAAGACAAAAACCAATTGACCTCTGATATCTATAATGATATCGAATCTGAAAGCGAAATATTTTATGTTTCAAATTTTCTTGGTTCATCAAGCACCTGTCTAAGTGTGAGTCATTTGCCTTCTTTTAATGAGTTTATTTTTTATTGTTTACAGAAGTAAACATATTTGTGGTAAATTTATTGATTCTAGAAACTTTTCCATTATATTTAATTTTAGGAGGACGACATTGAAAACCATTTTATTGACGTTGGATCTTTTACGTTTGGTGGAATTTTCGGACTGGGCGAAACGATGCGTCATCGTGTAATTATGGCACGGAGTACCGTGCAATGCTTGTTGCTCCCCAGATTTTTCTTACTCGATAACGACCAAAATCCGGGAAACATTTGGCAACGGAGGCTTTTCTACCTAGAATGTATCATTCCATCTAGAGATGATCTGTTCGATAATTTCCTTAAGACTTTAAAGTGGAAAAAATTTAAAATTGATTTTATCAAAAATTTAACAACTAATACAACGAATATCGCCAAGGATGATGATATACCGGTTCTATGTCGCATCGAAGGAGGAATAGATCCTCAATGATATATTTAAGTTATTGTGCAGAGTAATAGTTTATTAAGTGAGTTGAGCACTGAGAATTTAAACAAAATTCTTGTAAAAATAACTGAATAAATAAATGGACATTATATATTATTGTCGATTATTAAATTGGCTTACCAATGTTTCATTTATAATCTAAATATTCTACCAAAAATGAGAATAAAATAAATGTATGTATTGCAAAAAGATGAGATAATTTTATGTATGTATGAGTATTAGTTTATAATTTGTTCGATAACTCATATCCATTTATATTATCCGTTAATAGTTAATTCGAATTGAGTGTTTACGTTTAAATGCTCTATGCAAATTTAACATGAAATCTAGATAAATAAATTGTTAGTATCATATTTTGAAAAAGAAGTTATTTCATTTTTAATTATAAATAGTAAAGTCCACAGTTCAGGTATCCCAAGCGCTTTTGGTGATATACAAGAAAGCTAACACGTTCGATAAGGACATAAACATATGGGAGCGATGCATAGAGCACATTAATAAAAAAAAAAAAAAAAAAAAAAAAAAAAAAAAAATAAATAAAAATAGATGATGTGTGAGCTCGAATCTGATAGAGAGCTCTCTCTTAGAAGAGAAATGCCATCAACTCTTAGAGGTCGAAGTAAAGAATTTCACCTTGATGTTGAACATCTCTACAGTTTGAATACTTATGTTTCATGTATGTGTCAAATTAGAGCAATGAAATATTAAAGAGATCAATTCATGCTATAATTTTATTCATGCCATTCATTTTTCTTATCATGCTTATCGAGTGCGTGCTAAATTGGTAATATCGATTTCCTCATTTCTTGAAGCGCTAACGAATAATATATAATTTTATACGGACGACTGCGAAGACGGCTAAAGAAATTGAGAAAACAACAGTGTATATTATCTACTAATTATACACTTATGTTATTTCAGAGTCCCATAAAAGTGAGAATTTTTCTTGAATTCAATAAAATAACTAAATGTGTTATATTCCCTATATTGAAGTGAGTAAGCACTACTTTCTGACGCAAGAAGTCTTAACTGTTGTGGCTGCCTTTTGGTAAGCATGGAAACGGTGAACGAAGCACTTTAAGGTTTCCAGCTACAAGAGCCGAAATTCTCTCTCAGTATTGATTCAACAACAGTTGTGAACGTTTTGCATAGTGCGAAGAAATTACTGATATGGCTGTAACTAATTTACCAAGAGTTCCGGAAGGTCTTAGAGATCTGGTGAAAACCTATACTAAGGAAGTTTTACGCGAAAAACCCAAAGATCTATACAAATTCTCAGTAGATTATTTTGAGAACCTAGCGGGTACAAGAAAAATTCAGCGAAAGGTGATGAAATACGAATCCCAACAAAGTTACGAAACCATCATGAAAAACCGTACCCGACAGCAAATACCATTGTCCCTTGCATTTCATATAATTCCTGAAAATCTGACCGAAGTAATCAAACAGTTCATCAAAGCCGTCCTGAGAGAGAATCCACAATATTTAGTTCTATTCGCAATAGATTATTTTAAAAATCTTCAAGCTTCGTCATCGAAACTGGGAGATATTCAGTATACAGCTTATGAAAAGTTTATGGAAAAAAATGAGAGCAAGTCGCCGGCACGCAAGGTGACTAAATGTGAATGTGGACGTATTCTCAGCTCGACGGGTGGGAGACCAGAAGTAATTCAAAACGATACGCCTGATGAGGATCAACAATTCGAAAAGTTCAATAAAAACGACCAGTACATAAAAGCTGTGTACATCATTCAGAAATATATTCGACAATATTTAAAACACAAAGCAGAAAAGTCAAGTCAAGTTAAGGTTACTTCGAAATCTGCAGATATTTATGGAAGCCAAGAAGTCTTAAATGCCATTTTAATAATTCAAAGACAATTTCGCCGTTTAATAATCAAAAAACGATCCAAAGCCTCCGCGGAAACGAAGCAAACAAATGAAGGACGTTACGATTCTTTAAAATATATGAAGGCCACACTTATTATACAACGATACATGCGAGAATATTTCAGAAAGAAGAAATCGAAGAAGCAGGCGTTAACCAAATCTAAGGATTCTACTCCTGATAACAATATTTCCATGACAACCGCAGCATTCGTCATTCAAAGAGCATTTCGCAGGATGGTTAGGGCGCGAAGAGGCAAAAGACATATAAATGCTGACCTCGATCAATGCGATGAGATGAATGACAATGCTTCCGAAGCAGCATCTTATACGTCCGCCTCTACTGCTCTTCTTTCAACAGAGTCAGCAGGTGAACATGATTTTGGGAGCACTAATGAAGAGGGCGTCCATCAACAAACTATCAAGGAAGATGAAGAAGTTGAGAACGATGACACAAACCGAAAGATGATATTTGGGACAGATTCGATAAAAACAAATACAAAATCTGCAAGTCATAGCGGAGAAGGTAAACAATTTTGTTGTTGTTGTTTTTTTTAATTTCTTTTTTTATACCCCTTAATGAAGTGAAAATAATTTGCCTCTACTTTTATCATATTTTCTGTCTGTTGTTATTTATTGGGAATCACGGATTATATATTATGTATTATTTTTGTATGCTTCTATATGGGTCATTGCAAAAAATTATTAATTTATGCCCAATGACAGCGTGGAATAGAAAAGGCTATAGATCCTAAAGTTTACGTTAATATATACAAATCTTCGCTTCGTGACGATTCAGTTTTTTTATACACCTCTTATAGATCTATAAACTATATTACTCGCGCCTTGGAGTGTATTATGTCGAGCGGCAATTTGAAATAATTGTTTGAACTAAAATATAAATATATTTTTCAGCCAAAAATAATAATGACAACTTTAATGAAACAGAAGACGAACAGATAGACAAACACTTTGGGACAAAGACCTGTAATGAGTTGGAAAAGCCTACTACAGACAATGATATTTCAAAGAACTTGCAACTTGGAAAAATTGGACATGATGAAAACATTAAAATCATTTTAATAGAAGAAAGTACAAACCCATCAAACATAGATATTTTAGAGCCTGAACAACATAAAGCAAACACAATACAGTTTAGAAATGAGATATTAACGTTGGAAACAACAAGTGACCTAGGCAATCAGGTAAAAAGAAAAACATATAATCTTAGTGAAACAAATTTAGATACTGAAATTATATTATCCAGAATTCAAGAGCAAGAGCAGTTTCATCATCTGTTAGCAACAATGAGAATGTCGCCACCACTCATTCAGGTAACATAAATTTGATAAATGTGTCTCTATATCCTTATTTCCAGGTTATAATAAGTACTGTGGAGATTTCTATAAGTATAAAACAAGTTCAAGTAGCTAAAAGCTGTTTATTTATAGGCCTTGCTATTTTCTGAATATTAAGTCGATTTCACAACTTGTTTTTATTTATTTTTCTGAAGACCTTATTGATGATGAGAATAGAAACGAAACCCAATTAGCAGAACATAGTGAGAAGCATTTGCTTAAAACTGACGAATTTAAAAAGAGTTCGATAATAAAAAGAGAAAGCCTCAATGATGACAATCGAATTTTTGAGAGCGCGCAAACTATTGAAATGGATGGACTTGAGGACCACAATGTAATTACATCCAACAATGTTACAAAAGAATCAATCCCTGAATCAAGTTCCAAAATACAAAGCTTGAAGTCCTTGACAGAGTCGGAAAAGATCAGCAGTCCCAGTGGGAGCGATATTGAGTTGGTTTCCAAAATTACAACTGAATTGAAAGCTTCATCAGAATCTCTTAAAACAAGACTGCTGAGCACAGATATTTTAGATCTAGAACAAAACGTTGATCAAAAGCCTTTAGATAGTATAATCACGACCTTGGAAGAAAGGTCTGCGGATTCGTCATCAAAAGCCACGAAACCTGCTAGCTTGGAGTCCAATTATGATAAATCAGCAAATCAGGTAAGAAATCAAAAACAATTGTAAGATAAAAAGGTTAATGGGTAAATATTTGTTTTAGAATCATCCAATTTCGCCCACGCTAAAATCCGTTGAGAGTGACAACGATAATCTCATTAATCAGATAACAGGTAAATTTCTTTAAAAAAAAAATAATTTCAAATGAAGCAAAGTACTCGCTCATACATTTGGAACAATACATTCGTATTGGATTATACTACTTTAGGTATTTACTATTAGTTATTTTGCATTTTCGTATGATTAGCATTTGTGCATTAGCAATGACTATTAGAAAGGCAATCAGATCGAACATTTTTACTTTTAATTAATAGTTGTTAATTTATGTTTAATATTAATTTTGATTACTTGTCTTCAGACGATATCATCAATAATAATCCTATCACTAATCAAGTAAATGATACAGTAGATGAAAATATAAATAAACTTACTACGGTTGCTGAAATTCCAGTGGACCCCCAAATTCTTACTGTTAATGATGAGATTAATTCCGATGCTATTACCAACTCCCAAACTAATAATGGCAGTGATAAGATTAATTCCGATGCTATTACCGAAAATACTTTAAATGAAAATGAAAAAACCGAGGAAAGTAAAGTCGATCCAGGCAATATAATGGTAGAAGAATCCTTGACCAAATCAAGTTTCCAGGAAAGCTTGGAATCCAAAGAATACGAGAGTATAAAAACACTCGAGCCTTCAAACTCTTTCAGCTCCATTAATAAGCAAAATTCAGAAATACCAACTGATGCTATAACTGAAAGTACTGTAACTGAAATTGAGCAAACCGAGGAAATTAAGTCCAATCCAAGCAATATCCTGGAAGAAGAGTCTTTGACCAAATCAAGTATCCAAGAAAGATTGGAGTCTCAAGAAAACGAGAAGAAAAAGTCGGCGTCTACAAACTCTGTCGGCTCCATTGATAAGCAATATTCAGAAATAGAAACTGATGCCATTCCCAAAAATACTTCAAATGAAAATGAGCAAACCAAGAAAATTAAAGTCGATAAACCAAATTCAGAAATATCAACTGACGCAAAAACTTTAGGAGACTTACATGATTTGAGCCCAATTGCCACAGATATTGTAGACCAAGAGCAAGGGCTTGATCAAAATAAGATAACTAATATAAGCAATGCAGCCCCAGATCATTGCCAGAATGCATCGACAGACACTAAAAATACTCAAAGCCTGGAGAGCGCTAATGACAACATAGGAGATCAGGTAAACTAATCAATCCTGTATATGCAAGGGAGAAAACTAAACTTATACAAATTCACCTCCTTAGAATCCCCAACAAAAAGGTGACAACGAAAATTCCATCACCCGAACTGCATCAGGTAAATTGAGAAGCACACATTGTTTACTAATGATGCATTTTTATGTATATATATAAATATTTTATAAATTTACATGAAAAAAAGATAGTGACACGAAAAATATGGATGACGGGGATGACCCCATTTCTCCCAATAAATCAACTTCAGAAATCCAATATTCAATTGAAGTAAATAGCCTCCAGACAGTTTTAAAAAATCTGCATAGTCAAGCGAAGAATACTAACAACGATGCTCTTTCCGAAAATACCAGTACGTAATCAATTATACATTTGATACAGTTAAGTATGTTTTAAAATTAGATAATATTGGTCGTCTTATACCCTGAACCCATTGAACATAGGAAATCAGTTTTGTGAAAAGCATGTAACGGGCACAAGGGAGAGAAGGGTAGGACGACGAGCTGAGTCGATATAGCCCTGTCCGTCCGTCCGTCCATATGGGTGCGTCGATCTAGAAGTTATAAGAGCTAGAGACTTCAAATTTGGCATGCAGACTCGTGTATACCATACGCAGTACAAGTTTATCATATTTTTCGATAACTCATCCGATAACTTTTTTATCGAGAATAATTGATAATTGATTTTGTTTTTTCAGTTTAATTTGAACACATTAACACCTGGACTTCAGATTCACTGTGTATATACATATGTATGACGAATTTGTAAAACTAGAGACTTGTGCTTTGGAATGTAAACACATTTAAATCACACTTTTTTTTTATATTATCACCCTCTGAAAGTTTCATAAAGATTGTCCGACTACAAAAGAAATTATTCAACAAGTAAATTCTCATAATATTGTCCACACTGCAGCGCAGCCCTTACTGCGCAGTCAGCAGAGCGCGTGATTATAGGTGCGTGTGGATGCATGTGTAGGCATGTGTGCATAAAAGAAGTGCAGAATGATTCGATTATCAGCTTGGAGGGTTCAGGGTATCTCCTAATCGAGCAGTCTCGACTAGAGCCTTCTTACTTGTTATTTATAGGATTATACTTTCATATTATATACATACATATAAGTATATACTAGTTATCTAATTAATTAATTATTTCAACTCTTTAATGATAGTTCCTGCTATGAATACGTTGTTTATTAATACATATTTTTATACCCTGAACCCATTGAAAATGGGAAATCAGGGTATAATGGTTTTGTGAAAAGTATGTAACAGGCAGAAGGAATCATCGCAGACCCCATAAAGTATATATATTCTTGATCAGGACGACGAGCTGAGTCGATATAGCCCTGTCCGTCTGTCCGTCCGTCCGTCCGTCCGTCCCTCCGTCCGTCCGTCCGTCCGTCCGTCCGTCCGTATGAGCAAAAGGATCTCAGACGATATAAGAGCTAGAGAGCTGAAATTTGGCATGCATACTCGTGTATACCATAGGCAGTACGAGTTTGCTTTATTTTTTCGATAACTCATCCGATAACTTTTTTATCGAGAATAATCGAAAAATCGACATTGTTTTTTCAGCCTAATTTGAACACTTTTAGACCTGGAAATTTCAAATTTGCGTTGTATATAAAGTAAATGGATACAAAGATTTTGTAATTTACAGATTTTGGATACCACGCCCCCTTCTTCCCCAATTTGTAAAAAACGCATTTCAAATACTAGAGACTTGTGCTTTGGAATGTACACACATATTCACTATATGATTACGCTCTGAAAGTTTCATTAAGATCGAAGGTCTACAAAAGAAATTATTCAACAAATAAATTCTCATAATATTGCCCACATTGCAGCGCAGCCCAAGCGCAGTCGCTGCTAACTGCGCAGTCAGCAGAGCGCGTGCTTATAAGTGCATGTGTATGTATGTGTGCATAAAAGAAGTCCAGACTGATTAGAATATCAGCTTGGAGGGTTCAGGGTATCTCCTAGTCGAGCAGTCTCGACTGGAGCCTTCTTACTTGTTTATTTTGTATAAGGAATTTAAAATTACAGAAAAGTGGGCTCTGCTAAAAATTAATATTTTTATGTGATTGAAACAAATTGTTATTGAAGCGTAAAGTTGTGTTTTTATTTACATATGCTTAATAGAAATAGTATGAAATAGCAGCACAGGGTACAAAGTATCTCCTAATCATGCACTCCTGTAGTGAGGTAGCACCTTTAGTTGTTATATCTAATATGCACCATTAAATAATTGGCATCCTTACAGCGTCGGATATCGCGGATACTTTATCTAATTCGGAATCCAATGAAAAACTTTTTGACGATCTTGGAACATCAATTATTATTCATAGTGTCCTTCCTACCGAAGATGATTATGAGTTAACCATTGTGCCGCCAAGTAAAATTGCTTTACTTGAAACCCTTGATGGAAACATAACGGAAAGCTCAGACTTAAATATAATTGAAAGTCAAAGTATCACTGAGAGCACTACAAGTGCAGACGACTTAACCGTAATTGAGTTCCAGAAACCTTCAGAGGTTGATATCAGTGATAATAAGCCTCCTAAAAAAACAGTAGATGAGATTGTAGAAACATCAAGCTCTGTGAATATGTCAGAAGAACAGAACAGTATTCAAAATGATCATCTTCTACCACCGAGCACAGAAAAGGATGCGCAGATTACTGTCCCTGATAATATCGTCACTGATAAAATAGATGAAAAAGTTGATAATTTTGTTGAAAATGATCAAATACCAGATACAGAAATCAATCCACCCAGTTCTAATGAAGATTCAAATGAACCTGGAGAAACGAATATTAACATAATACCAAAAGTGGTGCAAAAAGAAAGCTTTGATGAAATCGATTCAAAAACAGAAAATGAAAAGGAAGATTCAATTCCATTACAGGAGCCTGAAGATACACAACAAAAGTTAACAGGAATGGACACCGGGATGTTGAGATACAAAGATGTTTCTATGGATAAAAATTCATTAACTCAGTCTGAGGCAGAGGCAGTTGTTAACATTTCATCTAAAGACGAGAATACTGCGCAGAATGCTCTAAACAACTTACTGGAGCCTGAGGGCATACAAGTTGAGCAAAATATTGCACCGTCTGATATGGAAATTGAAGCAAATAAGACGGAATCTTTAAAATCTGAGATAGATTCAATAAACCATAATGAGAATGCTGAAAAGAAGAACGAAAACATCAAGAGTTTAGGTAATGTTCATTTAAAGAAACACAATTAAGATATTAACATATATTTTCATTTATTTTTTTTTTTTTAAATGCAATTTGGACCATCGAATTATTGAAGATAATACAAGCGAAAATGGACCTATGAAAGTAATACGTAAGTATATGATAATAACATAATATTGTTACATTGCCTCAATTAGTGAATGGTTCCATGTGTTTGAAAAGGCATATCTGCACTGTGAGGGGAAAACTGTAACTAAGAGCTTTAGTTGGGAGTTTACAACTACAAAGTACCTTGACTCAATCGACGGATTTGATTATCAGGCTGATCAATAGAGGAATATTGACATTGGCTTCGAAAACACTTTATTAAGAAAGCCTGCAAAAAAAAAAAAAATGATTCAAGCTTCAATAGTAACAGTTTATACAACCTCATAGCCAGACATTGCACAAAACAAGGATCTGAATAGATCTAATCTTCTATTAAGGGTTTTAATCTATTGAATATAAGATGTGTTAATTAGATAGTAAATTTAGATGGGCTTGCATTTTTAAATTTTAAGCAATTAATCTTGCAATCTTATTTCGTTGTTTTAGAATATTAAGTATACAAGATATATATATATATATATATATATATATATATATATATATATATAAAGTTTTTATGAATACAAGACACACTAATTTGTAACATACCTTTTCAAAACAGCGAACGAATCAAGCGATGGATCGAAAAACGAAGATCTTATTTCTGATGTAAATAGTGGTAAGACTAAAGGAAATATATCATTCTATAATTTGTCCTTAACATTAGCAGAACAAACCTTCGTTGCCTTTGAGTAATCAATTAATTGGCTCCCAAATCAGTAAGACGGCATCCCAAAAAATAAAAAAAATGTCCAACGTTAAGGATAAACAATTATCAAATCATACATCGAACCGATTATTGCAGACGCCAATTGCTGAATTACAGCTAAAATCATTTAAGAACTCGACCGACGAAGGCTCGTGGTATGAAGCTTACACGGAACCAAATGAGTTGAATATGAATACAAATGAATCCAGTAATGCTAAAGAGTCTGACCAACAAAATGCGCTCTTAGAAGAAATAAAGTCATCTAAGAATATTGAGCGATCTCCAAGTTACATAAATGGAGCGCAAGATGAAAACAATGACCCAGTCAAGCCGAAACAATCTATTTGCTATTTTATTTCATTCGATGGCAACGATGATAGAACAAGTTTTAAGATACCAAAAAAGTTCTTAAGGCAATCAGAGTATTGTATCAAGAAAAATCGTACAAAATGTAATAAAAGCAAGATCTCTCTGGATGAAGAAAACCTAGATGATTCGGTAATTGAACTAAGTTACCAGGAATTTGTTACTCCAAAGCTACAAACAATCCAAGAACTGAACGAAAATGAAGTAAGTACAGAGCTGAAAGTGGATACGGATAAATCTGTTGCTAATGTTCAAGCCGACTTCAAAGAAATAGAAGATATTACAAGTAATATTGAAAATGAACCAATTCCCGGTAGCCATGATAACAATAAACAAAATCAAAATAGACCAACTGAGCTTGACGGTCAAAATCTTTGTTCTTCTTCTGATAATATACAACTAACGAATAGCGCTAACATTATAAAGAGGGCTTATAGAGCCTACAAAATTCGTAAATCACGAGATGACTCTGACGAAGTAAACGGCCTTAAAGACAGTAAGACTGCAGATAATGAAATGTTAGATGATTCGAAAACTACACTTAATCCAATTCATGCAGCTATTAAAATTCAGAAATCATTTCGAAAAGCTGCACAGAAAGCACCCCAGATTGTAACTCAGGAAAGTCCAATATATATGGTATCTGAAGTTGTGGCTGCAATTAGAATCCAAAATGCTTTCCGTGATTATATTAGACGCAAGGAACGATCGAAGCCCGAATGGTTTGTAGGGTCGCAACCTATATCTCTATTGTCAAGTGCTTCGAGCGTTCCAGCTGCGGTTGAATCACTTGTTGCTACCACAGATGACAAGATAGATTCACCCACACCTGAGTCCGACCACAATTCACATATCGAATTAAGTAATTTGGATGCTCAAAGCAATGGCTCACTTGAACTGGCTACTGATATTGACAACATTGTTAATGACTTATATTCAAATAAAGTATTTGAAACTGATAATGGAGATTCTAAAAATTTGGCAGGTTTAGCAAATGATGAAGTGTTCGATTCTGTTGAGGATGTAGGAGCTATGAAGAGTTCGTATATTGAACGAGCCTCCACAGGTAATATACGTTCTCTCAATATACTCACATTTAATTAATTAATGTAATTTTCCAGAGGGTGCCACAATGCGGGAATTGCTGAACGAGTTTATAAGGCAAGAGATCCAATTCTCTTATCATACTGACAACCGAGAGCACAATAAAGGGATTGAAGAAGTACATGAGATTCAATGTGTTAAAAGAACTGTGTCACTCTCTAATCTGGACGAGGATAAATCAGACAACGATGGGCCAGAAAATATAAAAGAAGACAAACTGCAGCATCTCAATGAATCGGAAAGTGAGTTGGATACTCTGGATAGCGCAGCTCTAAAATTATCAAAAGCGGATCAGATCATTGAGAAAATGTCCCGGCGACGATCTTCAGAAATACGAGAGAAACAAGAGAAGGAGGATTGTAATATCAAAGATTCCGTATTTGATGAGCCTCTCGTTCAGCCAATGAGCGATTTGCAAGGCCAGAACTCACTAGATATTGAGGATGGTGATATCGTATATAAGCGCCTGCAACGAGATGAAACTCGGGAGAGCTCAGCCCAAAGCGAGTCTGTTATATTTGGAAATGCTGATGAAGACAGGGCTATGTCGAATGATCCGGAAATTGCAAGATCCCAGCTATCTCGGCATTACACGATAGCCGGTGACGATCCAAAAACTATTTTTAAGTCCGTGATAATTACCGATTCAGTTAAATATATTGACGATGAAAATGAGAATGCTATCGATGGCTCCAAGGGTAGCAGCAGTTTCTGTTTGGACGACGAAACGTCTGAAAACATTCGCAAAAAGATGATGGCATATTCCTTGTCGGAAGCGGACTCCGATTACTGTGACCCGAATAAAATCATGAAGGACGACTTTCATATAGACACTGCAATGGCAGATGCCATGGACACATCCACAGAAACCGAATCGACAATTGTTTCCGCTGCTGCTAAGATACAGGCAGGCGCACGGGGATTTCTAACTAGGCGACGATTGCGACGGGCCAGTGCAGGCACCAAGTCATCTACCCAGGAAACCAAGGCATCTTTCGGGAATGATGCTATAAGCGAATCATTAGAACGCTTCATTGAAGAGGAAGCTGCTAAGAAAATTCAAACAGCATATCGATTGCATACTAAGAAGCCCAAACACCAGGCACTGGGTCATAGAAATGGCTCCAGTCTGGAAAGCACCTTGGCAGCCAAACGGCAAATGCTTCAGCGCGGAGACGCTTTGCAAAATGATTCGAATTCTTCCCCAGAGAATGAAAATACCGATGGCATCTCCGAGGGCCAGTTAAAGAAACCTATTGAGACGATTTCGTCGCCAAACAAAGGTAAGCTATTAACATTAGGTGCGTCAAATTTGTAGATGCTGAACAAATACTCAAATTTTGTATTTCTTTTTCACCGATGCTCTGGATATTTTCTAGTAGAATACCCCCTAATACTTTTGTACGTTATGAATGTCTTTTTATAACAGGTACGCGATCAATTAAGAGAGCTGATATGCGACTGAATTGGCCTGTTTTGAGACAAAACTCCATGCCAGTGCAGATCGAATGCGAAGTCCTAAGAGTTATCCCCAAGCACAGGCGCAGACGCATAAGAAGCGCCCAGGATAAAAACAAGAAAAATTAAACGTCACATTTCAATTAATTAAAGTTATCTAATATTAGTATCTAATAACAGTAGAAAAATAAATATATACTCAAAACTATAAATGTTGGTTTTTATATAATCGGACCATATTGTTATACGCTGAACCCATTAGAAATAGAAAATCAGAATATAATGTTTTTGTGAAAACGTATGTAACAGAAAGAGGCGTGACTGACTCCATGAAGCATGCATATTCTTGATCAGGACGACGAGCTGAGTCGATTTAGCCCTGTACGTGTGTCAGTCCGTCTGTCCGTATATATAAGCGCGTCGATCTTAGAAGATATAAGAGCTAGAGACTTGAAATTGCATTTAAATGTCCGTATATATAGCGAGGAAATCGAGTTTATCTCAAAAAATCCCGTTATTTTTGATCGATAAAATCATTAGTAATAAAATTAGTAATAAAATTGCATCTGCAATATCTTTGAAGCTAGAGTCGTCAAATGTTTAATGTAGTTTCATATGTATTTTTTAGAATTTTGATTTTATTATAAACTGGCCCCTACCTGCTTATTCACCCTCACAACCACCAATTTGTAAAAACCATATTTCAAATAATAGAGACTTGTGCTTTGGCATGCATGCATTTCAATGTTATGTGTGCGTACGTATGTGCATGTGTTGTTTCCTGTGTAAGCAAAAAGACGTGGAGAATTATTGAAATAGCAATTGCTCGAAGGGTTCAAGGGGTTTCGTAGTCGAGCAGTCTTGCCTGGAGCTTTCTCACTTCTTAATTTTAATTGTTATTGTATTGTATATATATATTGTATATATTATGTATTAGGGATAGGATCCATTACTAATTAGTAATTAGACATATCAAGAAATTTCGTGAAATGCTTTAATTAAGGATTTGCTATGTGAAATATAATTATGTCATCATATGTAGATAAATCCAAATCTGAGCTCTTTAAAGTCAAGAAAATAATCCTTAGAAAAATAAAAATTATGACGTCACCGATTGTAAGAGAAAAATATATAAATTTTTTCACGAAAGTATACAAAATATATAAAAATGTTATATTGTGTAATAGTAAATAGACATAATAATTTTTGTATACAGAATTTGTTACAATTTTGCTACATATATAAGGAATTGATAGTTTACATTTGTGGCAAACCATCTACTTTAGAAGTTTATTTCTTGAGAGATCATCAGTGATCTACTTGTCAAGCTGGGCGATTTACCACTTTAACTGAGGAACCTATTCCAATTTCGATGAAAATGAAGAGGTCGTCCCAAAAAGTTGTCATTTAAATTTAAGTGTTGGGTAGATATTATAATCAATCATAGAATAAATTATAGTAGTCATACAGACAAGCCCATATAAATATATTTACGTTCCTGTTAGAGAATCAATAGTTTTATATACAAATCTGGTTCATCTAAATATCTGTTTTGTTATGTATTAACGAAAACCCCCTGCTTCTATGATATAGGTTTCTTAAAAAAAACATATGTACCTTAACGTTTGGGCACGTATGCAATAACAATTTACTCATACACTATTGCAAATAGATAAATATAAATACCGCACATCATTTCTGTATACAAATTTGCAAATAAACAGACATATATATATATATATATATATATTATATATATATATTGATGTATGTGAATGTGTACAAATATATATGTGTATATGTATGTATTCATACGTTAGATTTTTTTTTAAACATTAGTTAGATCACTTAACCACACTAACAATAATATTTTGTTGCTTGAAATGGATATAATATATGGATGTACTCTATACTATATTAGGCATGAAAAGTTTCGATAATTAATCTATTTATATTTGCAATAATTGTTTGTGTGACCACCAAACACATTAAAAGTAGCTGAATGTACTAAGTCTGAAAGCACTGTTACTTAACGCAAGTATGTTTATATTTATTTTGTTTAACTCATTACAGTAATCTAGTGCTACTTTCTATGTACAAAATGTTATAGCATGTTGGTACACGCAGAACTCGAATGTATGCATTATATAAAGAAATTAATTTACATTACACACGCTACGAGCTATGAGTGTATACGGAAGAGCGTGGTCCACAATTTACGACTGCTTCATTTTTTCAGCTTCCTTGCGTGCCTTGAATCCACGAAAGCTTGACTGTATTTTGACTGCTGCATCTGTTGCTATTTTCTGCTTCTTTCGCACGAGGAACCCTCGGAATCCTGCTTGAATTTTTATAGCTGAGCGCGCCTCGACTGAGTTGACGTCCGACAGGGCGGAGACGTCATTAGCCTTAGGAATCTGTTTCTGATTATCTTCCATGGTATCGTATGTGTGCGAGCACTGCTGACGTTGCTGACGTCGAACACCACTCGATGGCTGATGATGATTGCCGAAGCGTTGGCCGATGTTACGAGAACTATTCGATTTGGATATACGGTATAGCTGTTTCCTCACACGATAGCCACGAAAACCAGCTTGTATCTTGGTGGCTGCGTTTTCCTCGGATTGCAAAGATGACTCGGATTCGGGCGAGCTCGGATATATGTACATGATCTTTAGCAGCACAACTGAAGCAGAACGGTATTTTGATTTTCCAGGCAATTAAGTTAAGGCGGTGCTCTCATCTACAATCAGAGAAAATACAAAACTTCTATGTGAAGTAGCTGATTCACACAATAGTTCTCTATTTCTCTATTCGTCTGGCATCTGTTTGAACTGACTCTTACGAGAGCTATAATTGTACTGACGTATATATAACGGAATTGGCTGCTGTGCACCGAGGATTTTCATTTAATTTTTCCATTCACAAAACAAAAGGCCCCACTCATCGTTTATGCTCTCGTACCTACCTCACATGCCGCCCCCGCCCCTGATGTGTTACGTATTTGTATCTTTTATATTTGTGTACATTGTATACACAAACCTAACCACATACGTACAAAAACGCTTGTGTATATACACTTGTATGTAAATATTGAATGTACATATATGTACTCGTCCATCCAACATTCATATATATGTGCTGAGCATGTTTTCTACATATATGTATTTGATTGTATTCGTGAATTTGCGTATTCGAATCTACGTATGTCCAATAGTACGTAGCCAGATCTCTGTGTATCTTGCTCTTTTGAAAATTGAAAATTGAAAAGTCGCGGATGTTTATGACGTTAATGATTGTACTCTGTTCCCACAGGGAATAAATAGTTTATTGAATTTGTATCCGTTGCTTATTTATGTTCGTTCAAGCACATTACGTTTCGGTATTGTGCAGTTGATATCATATATTCTTTGCCTTCTATTCTTTCTTTATTCATATTTTAATTGAAAAATGCAATTGAAGATACAAGTGTTCAATACATCATCAGTTCACGTCTTGGATGCTCTGTATTTTCGACTCGTTTCATACCATTTTATTTTTGCTTGTTTGTTTGTTAGAATTCCACATTGTGGACAATTTAAAAGATTCTATTTAAACGCTACTTTATACCGATTTATATCGACCTTAATTGATTTAATGGAAATAGAAAATCTACTGGGTATGGGACACAAACTTATCTTGGACTGATATACCTAGTCTAGTCGAATCGTTGATTTATATGAGTAAAAAACCAATAATGCTTAGAACACAAATTTTCGGTGAGTTTGGAATTTAAATAGGGTATCTATGATTTATCATTTATTTTTTTCTGAATATTGCTACGTAATAAAGTCATGTTATAAATTGCTAGAATTGTATATGTACATATATATTTTTATTTTATTATATATTTATGTATTTTTTTTATGTTCTTTGTATTTGGTAGGTCTGACTCCCGCCTATTATTTATGATCACGAATAAAATATATACGCTCGTTTATTTCAATGAGTTCAGTCCTCTTACCGAAATTCATTACTTTCCTGCCGACCGTTGATACTCATTCATAAACGAAGCAATTGCTCTTTCACTAGCCGGAATCAAAACCCGAGCATAGGTATTTAAAATATGCATTTATGACATATACACATGCACAGACATAGATTATATTTGCATAAACAAAGAAGTAAATCTCATTTCATCATACCGGAAATTTATATACTAATACAGTGGCGAATGTATTCAAACAAAGCAGAATAGAAGATATTTTTATACCCTGAACCCATTTTCAATGGGAAATCAGGGTATAATGGTTTTGTTGAAATGTATGTAACAGGCAGAAGGAGGCGTGGCAGACCCCACAAAGTATATATATTCTTGATCAGGGCGACGAGCTGAGTTGATTTGGCCCTGTCCGTCTGTCTGTCCGTCTGTCCGTCTGTCCGTCCGTCCGTCTGTCCGTCTGTCCGTCTGTCCGTATGTATGAACGCGTCGATTTCAGAAGATATAAGAGCTAGAGACTTTAAATTTTTTTTTAAATGTCCGTAATTACAGCGCGCAAATCAAGTTTATCATTAAAAATCGATAACTCATCCCGATATTTTTTTATCGATAAAAAACCTTATCGAAAACCAGTTATAAAATTATATCTTCTACACCTTTATTGCTAGAGTCTCCAAATTTTTAATGTATGCTTATATGCAATTTATACAATTTCGGTTTTTGTTAAAATTTACCCCCCACCCTTAAATTCACCCCCTCACCCTCACTTTTGTAAAAAGCGTATTTCAAATACTAGAGACTTGTGCTTTAGCAATTACATGCATATCCATGTCATAATCATAATTTGAAAGTTTCATGAAGATCGTACGTCCACAAAAAAGTTATTAAGCAATTAAGTTCTCATAGTAAGCGCTCACTGTCGCCCATGCGTCTTTATGCTTGTGTGTGTATATGTATGTAATTGTTTGTGTATGTGTGTGTGTGTGTGTGTGTGTGTGTATGTATGTGTGTGTATGTATGCCTGTTTGTGTGTGCGTGCGTGTGTGTGTGTGTGTGTGTGCGTGTTTCTTGTGTAAGCTGAAAGACGCGAAAAATTATTGAAATAGCTATACTCCAAGGGTTCAGGGGATCTCGTAGTCGAGTAGCCTCGACTAGAGCTTTCTTACTTGTTAACCTTGATATTTGCAACTGGCTCTGCCCAATACAAGTACAATTAAAAACCCAAGTCTTTAG